ACATGTTTAATTTGAGGATGGACAGTCGATATTAGCTCCAACAGGTTTTGGAAGTTGACAAAATAGTTCGTAAAGCGAAACTAAAGGGGCACTGCGTCCTGAAAACCACGAAATGTGCATGTTTCTGGTTCTGGTTGAGTCCGTAAAATTCACTCAGGAATATCACACTAACTTTTTTAGTAAATAACCTTACATGTAGTTGTCCATGTAGTGCTTGGATGCCCTATCCTTGAATGCAAGTAGTGTCCTAGAGTTGACGACGTTTGCTGGCAACTTCTTCCATCCTGTAATTATTCTCGGGAAGAAAGAGTTCCAGTAGGCTTCCTTGGTTGCATGTCATTTGTAGAATTTTTGTTGGTGCCCCCTGGTATTTCTTGTGTTTCAGTTGAGGTGATCTGCTCGTGAGATGTAAACCAGCTCATGATTGATTTTGTAGAGCACTGATAGCCTTTGTATCTTCCTTTGCTCTTCCATGTCTCCCCACTTGATGTGCTCCAGGATTCCAGTGACTGTTCCCTCTTACTATACTGTAATTTTTTTGTGCAGAATCTTGTTGCATATTTTTGGACTCTGTCCAGTGTTACGGTATATTACACTCAGTGTGTGTCCCACACAGTCACTGCATACTCCAAAAATTTCTGGGTTTTGGCTGCAGCAAGCTGTGTTCGATGTGAGTTGCTCCCCACAAAAGGTGTAGGATCTTTTTGGAGGATTCCGGTAAGCAAATGTGATAGTACAGCACTTCGATGGATTAAAGTTCATGAGCCATTCATTCTGCCACGATTCGAGCAACTTGAAATTGTTTTGTAGAGTTGAGGTGTCCTTGTCAGGTGATATTTGTTGGTAAACAAGGCAATCGTCAGCGAATAGTCTCACTTGTGAAGTCAACTTGCTCGGCAGGTAAAGTCAGCAGTAGTGGTCCGAGCACAGCTCCTTGCGGAACTCCTGATGTGGCAGAAGTCCGAGAGTCCATTGAGGTTTAATTAGAATATCGCGCACAAACGGTTTTATGGTGGCAGCGAGTACGTGGGGGTGTCCAATCTTCAAAACCGTCACTCTTAAGTGACACACCCCGTGCGTTTCGGAGGGGGCACCACCTAAAGACCCCCCAAAATTGACTTTTAATTAGAATATCGCGCACAAGCACGGTTCCAAAGCGAAAATATAGTTTTCGAATAATTTATCAATGACCAATAACTTAAGGATGAGAAATCCCGTGTGCATCCATGTTTAAGAATGGCCTAATTAGCACTAATTATTTACTGTTAATTAAATTTTTGAGCACAAGAGCGAAACCTTCACTATAAGCTAAAATAACAGAGTGTTACACAGTTTTTGAATAACAATGCATTATTTGTGAATTATTCATTCTTTTTCAAAAACTTCTACACCCCCAGAAACACTCCTACTTCCTGATCTCACGGTATTGTAGAGGTTCTGATTTATGCATAATGTATAGGCCTCTTTAGTATTTTTTTGCATCAATCATTTAATTCATAAACAAATAATTATACATATAGGTTTCCCCCTTCCTCCACTTAAAAGTACACATTCATAACAGTCCCATGGTCTATTTCGATCAAATACAAAGAATGTCTTGAATCAAGACTCACTCTAGGCCCTATATGAACCATTATACACATGAATGTATTGATCTGATAATATATGAAATATTGCGGGGTTTTTTTTTTTTACTTTCTTTTTTAAGAAACTGTGCGCCTTTGGTTGGAAAAGTTTAACACTCAATGGACAGCTGTGAAAATGTGTTACTTTAATTCAACATGTGTATGACTTCCGATAGCTGGGATCTATGTTTTCCGGATAAATGGAAAAACATGCCCGTTTAGAACAGCGCTTCTTTGTTGTGTCCAATTCAATAGCAGTTTTTAAAGGGAAAAATCATCGATCCCGGCCATTTTGTATCATCCTTTTTTATGCCGAAAAGGACTCCAATCAAACTGGGGAGAAAATCCAAATGGCCGTTAGGATCCCCGGCATACTAAAGTGTTCGCCATATCATACATCCTAAATCTTTTGCTTGCTTTCAGGCCTTCTTCGTAATGTATCTCTCTTTAATAATTAAGGCTCCGCCATGAGTGAGTCTGCTTTACAGTCCATTCATGTATCAGGTAGGCTTTGATACATCGTCAAAAAATCTGTAAACACCATGAGAATTGACTAACTGGGCCATATTAACGCGGACATTTATTTCTTAATAACGTGATAGGTTGCATTATTGCGTAATTCGCAAAATAATGACTATCTCGAATATTTAGGCTGGCATAATATTAATGCATAATATCGTATTTTGCACTATGTTACATTACAGTATTTTGCAATGCAGTACGTGGGTAGCGATGCTTTGGCGTGGTTCGTTTACTATCAGCATGTGTGCGTTACGTAATATTTCGCTATGACAGTATGTTTTTACTTTTTAAGCCGTGCAGAAATCGGCAATTAACTTGCCGTTCTTAAGTGAATTTTGCACGGGATTTTTTATTCGTAAGGTGAAATTCTGCAAAAGCTGACTCATTCATGACTGGTGTTCGAATAATCGTACTAATGAAAGACATAAAAAAATAAATTTAGGCGATGTCCCCTCCCAGACGCACGGGGGTATGACACTTACGGTTTCGAAGGTTGGACACCCCACCTACTCGCTGCCATCATTAAACCTTTTGTGAGAGACCTCAATGGGCTCTCGGATTATATGGGTAATATACGAACAAGGAAAATATTTGAGAGGATTTCAGACCAAGAGGATAACACAGAAACGGCCACCATTAAGAGCAGGAATTTCAAATCCCCTAACAGACGCGAAATGCTTTGAATGTTGTAATTCCAGGCCTGATAGCAAATGGGATTTGATTTCGCATCAACGCTGTTTCTTTCAACGGCCTCATAATGTACAATCTCCGTAAAAGTGGGATGCAGAACAATGACTGAGGTATATTATGCCAACCTTTGGAAATTGCCCAACTGATATTGGATTGAGAAAAAAAAACTATTGCCTGTTGCAGCCGATTTTTTGTTTGTTTACGCCATTTAGCCCCTACTGTTTAAAAATATGGCCAACTCCCAGCAATGGCAAAATTCTTGAATTATTTTATTTTCACTTGGGTAAGCAGCTCCATGGGTGAGCTGGCCAAGTGCAGAAAAGAAAAGAAAAGGTAAAATTATCGGAATCGTTCTTTTGCCGGCGCAGCCCCCCCCCCCCACTTTTTAACGTCATGGCCCGCCCCTAAAAGGGTCAGACAAAATGGCATTAAATGGTTTTGAACTTGTTGAAGTAGGCCTATATGTGTTGCGAGAGAGTGTACCCAAAAATGCATAGTCCGCCGCACTAGAGCCCATTGGAAAGGCGCGCAGTGAATTGTTGCACCTATAGGCTTATTACTACTAGTACTTTTTTCCTGGTCGTCAGAGAACATTGACATAAAAAAACGTTGATATTTACCCAATTGCATGAAGACCATGATTAAATTTCATGAGTTGTGAAGTGAAGCTTGATGAAACTGAAGATCGGAAGCCAGCGTCTCCAGCTTGTCTCTCAACATTTCTGACATCTTCATGATTTCCTTCTGACGCAGATACAGCCAAAGGTGTTGTATTTACACCAAAGCGGCGGGTAAGAAATTTGACAGCGCATGCCACGTGCGATCTGGCTCCACCACAATTTGTTGTTATTGGCATAAAATAATCACATTGCCATTGTAAATTGACATGAATTGGATATTTGTACACTCCACACACACAAAGATAGGAATATGGTCCACATTGTAATGATAAAAGTGGATACACATAACAAAACGTATGAACCGCGGCCCGCTGGTCCTGTCAAAAGCGCCTTTGAAAACTTAATTAAATTGGGGCGCCTCCCGCAGATAGAGCGCCCCCAAGAGTCTACCGGCACTCAAGAGTTTTTTGTAAACACAATCAACGTCGGCGCAGGCCGGGACCGGTGATATGATATCGCTTTGAAAGGTAACTATGTAGTAGCATGGAGGAATAAAAACAGGTTGTAGGCCCCAAGTAAAAACTTGATTGTAAACAAAAGAATCTTAAATCGAGTACAGGACGCTGCTAGTGCTAGCATGGCTAGTTGCGCTATTGCAGTGCTACTGCGCTAGGCAGTGCTACTGCTAGGCTTTTTATTATATCATCTCAATGAAGGTCAGTCATGATGGATGGTGATAATGCATGAACCTGGGACTGAAAAACATTTCCAATTTTGTTGTTAAAAAAATGTTTTTGACGCTCCATAGACTTTGTACACAACCGCATCCAAAAGTGATATGTCCTAAAAAAGTCAATATTAGCAGAAGCATTTACTGAGAAAACACTTGGAAATTTCCCAACATTTTTTTTCCGCAGAACTAAGCAGTTGCAATAGGCCTATTGATTGAAGTCTAGCGGTACGGTGGTATGCATGACATTGACAACACAAGAGCCAGCCAATGACACTGCAATAGGTCAGTATGAATATTTAATGATGATTTGTTTTACTTTAAGTTTAATATTCATTAGTCTTATTATAAGATAGTGGATATTTTGCCGGAGGTAATGACGGCAAACTAATGTTTACTAAATATCAACAGAGGGCGCTGTACTCTTTAAGATAGGGCTGAATTATAAGATGTATTAAATTCCCACCAAAAGTTGTGTAGCAAGTTTGGTGTAATGGTTAAGCAAAAGCTCTAGTACAGTGAGCGGGATGACTCGGGTTCGATCCCGATCCCCGCCACATTTTTAAGGTTTTTTTTCCCATCCCCAAATAAATAAGAATATTCTTCTTTTGTTATTTTAACATGTCTCAAACATTTTATTGCAGAGTATTACATTTTCTTTTTCAGATTTGTGGCTCTGGAGGATTTTTTTTAAAAGGGAAGTAAAGTCTGAAATTATAAAATGGTCTGAATCCCATCTTGTGAATACGAGGTTACAACGATAATATTGGCATGGAGCCAGACTAAAATTTGTCACCGGAAAATGTTTTTAAGTACAAAAAAACAGTAACTGCGCATGTTCAGTGCATATCCGGCAAACTAAGGTTTACTTAAGGTTTGCCGTGTCCGGCAAAATATCCACTGCCTTATTTTAATGGATACTTTAAATTGGTCCAAAGATTAATTATTGCAATAAGCAAAATGCACGGCCTACAAAAAAGTGTTGTGTTTCAAAGAAGAGTCCAAGTTTTGAATCTTGATGGATCTCCGTGAAGTAGGTGACTAATTAACAAAGAGGACTAAAGCAAAGGAGAGGGTAAGGGTACAGGAGGGAAAGTGGAGGAAATAACCGTAAGAAAGGATGCAATTTTTTGGCTCTTGAAAATTAATTGAACAAAAAAAAGTGGTGGATAAATTAAGTATGTTGGCCAGTTTTCCATACTGGTGGCTGTCTCCTTAAAGCAAACTTGCAGTCATGACAATGGACATGAGTCGTACAGGGACAGCGTCTTCAAGTGTCATGGAGCCCAGGCTAAAATCATCAGACAAATCTGGCAGGTGTAACATGAAGGACACTTCATATGATGGCAGGGACAGCAGGCAGTAACGTAGACGCAGGGCAGACAAAAATGATGATTCTAGGTCCAGAACCGAGAAGCATCTCAGCTGGGGTAGAATGCCCGATTGCCAAAAGGATAAGAGAAGAGATCATTCCTCCTCCTCAAGGTCGAGACACAGGAGCAGAGACGGAACCAGAGCTTCATCCACAAGAAAGGGCCCTTCGAAAAGAAGTGAGACGTCCCGTGGGAAGAAACGTGGGAAAAAACGCGCAAGGAAAAGAAAGGTTTCCAAAGCTTGGAATCTCTATGGGTACACTGCTGATGACATCCCTGCGCCTGAGAAATCAAGCGGGGATGTTGAACATTCCAGCAGACAAACTGATCCAAATGCAGATGAACGATTGTCTAGAACTCACCAATGGGATGAAGATAGGACTTTGAGACCACAAGATTGTAGAGATGAGTCTGGAAATTGTTCTGAGGTAGAAAAATTGTCCAGGGACAACGATGGCATGTTTGACTGGAAGAGGCACAGACGGGAGCTGGATGCAATATTTTTTAGGGATGACAGTATTATCAAAAGGTAATTGAGCTTTGGTGATTTCGTGTCATGGAATTTGTCAATATCTGTGTAATATTGTGTGAAATGCCAGGGTTTTTGGTTGTCAATTTTCACTGTATTTTACCACAGGAAATCAGAAGATTACCATGATTTTTGGAAGTTTCTTGAGCGCTACCAAGCTTTTCAATTCAAGCTGAGTGCCAGTCAGCCACATCGAGGTAATAACTACAGTTATACTTTCAGTAATGCCCTTTGTAAATTTATGTTAAATTTCTGTTTTTCATATCTCCCTGTACTGTCCTAGCATCTCTCTTTCCATTATCCCTGATAGGATAGGCCTAAATCTTTCCAAGAAAAAAAAATTATACCCAGGCTAGTGTCATTGAAGTGCTAAGTATGTAGATTTTGTAGTTCATAAGTGTATTTTTGTGTTAAGTGACAATTGCATGGAAATGAAATTGAGACACATCAATACTCAAATAGATAAAAAAAAAATTGCTTCAGCAAAAAAATTGTGTCTGAAAGTTTGTTAAATCTTTTGAGTATCACCTTAAGGTGAAATTGTTTAGTGATACTTTCTGTTCTATTCCTGTGAAATTGTACCTTGCTAGTGCAGACAATGAGATATTTCAGTCACTGAAAAGCAAAAACAGTGATTTGTGAAAAAAAAAATCAGCCAGTGAAGAACTCTTTGTTTTTTTTTATTGCATTGTTTTGTTTTTCAGACAAGAATGATAATAATAATAATACCGAAGTCTTATATAGCGCACGTATCTACCAACAATTAGGTACTCAAGGCGCTGGAAATTATGTCTATTACTAGAGACAGGTAAATGAAGTACATGGGAAATATGAGAACCATTATGTAGCACCTTTATAAGGGAATAAATGTGTGCTCCGGAGGTTTTTATCACTCGTTTAATACCGCTTAGAGTCTGGGTGCTGATAATTACCCGAGCCGGAGGCGAGGGTAATTATCAGCACCCAGACTCTAAGCGGTATTAAACGAGTGATAAATACCGACCGAGCACATATTTATTCCCATTCATAAATACCTTATCCGTAAATTTTTTTCAAATAATTCGTTCAAAAAGTCCCGATTTTGTTCAACAAGTTCACTTCATGCTTTTTGAAACATCCCTCTAGCAAAATAATGGAGTGTTCAGCTGGCGAGTAAGATGTAAACAACCCTTTTATGGAGATTGACGCGCGCGTAACATGTTCTGCGCGATGTCACGCAGAACGCACCTGGGGCGTTGCGTTTTGAATTTAGAACTATAAAATTCTGACTCGCTTGTAGTGTTGCGCATGCCTACGTGAGGATTGTGAACGTTCAACCAATGAAACGGTAAGAGGCACTGGATTTTTAGGAGTCCACATATTATTGTGACACTGGAAAAGTGTTTAAGACCAGCTAGCCATGTCTTTATCATCCGTTTAAGACCGGCCACGTGACGGGCTCTCGACCAATAGGAATAGCTAAACTGTCTGAGGTATTTATGAATAATGGTTTACAAGGTGCTGTGGCGCATTAAGCAGCCACTGCCAGAAACACCGGGGCAAACCCCTTCTCTTAGCGATAAGTGTCACTGGGTTCTTTAACGTGCATTACACAACACATGTCCAAGACAAGGAAAAATCTGTCAAATCTGCTGTTCTCAGATTGCCCCTGATATATGACAATGTGACACTGAAGTTGAGAGGAGTGGAAGAAGCAGAAAGACGATCAAAGTGGTTGACCAGCAAGAAAGGTACTGTCAAAGGCTTTAAAATGCAAGAAATGGGAACCGGCTTAAATATGCTATTCATTTAAGACTGACATCGCTATTGTTGAACAGTATATATTAGGCCGACGTACAGCAAGTCATCCTTAGTCACAACTCTCTTGAAAGACTTGCTGCAATTGTTCTCATGTCATGGGTTCAAACCCTGCTCAAATCAGACTGATACTATGTCACCAATAAATATGTACTAAGCTTTTCCAGCACAAGAAAATAATATTTTACCAGATCTTTCTTTTTACATTTCCTTTTTATTTATTTATTTTTTTTTACTTGTTTTCAACAGATGATGAAGATGAGTTAACCACTAAACGCATCAAGAAAATCAGCAAGGTGCTTGTTACAAACCCATTTATGCTGTAATCGGTTAGTACGGTTTGCTCCCACACTTGAATTTTTGGTATTTAAAGAGAATGTACAACATTTGTTTTTGCTTCAACTTTCAGAAATAAATGGAGTTGGAGGATTAGTATGTTATAGCAAATATTGTTAAAAAGATTGTTTCATGTTTTGGGCTTGTCTATGTAGATGCTTCAAAAACCAAGGAAAATAATGTTCTTGTAGTTTTGTTCCCTGACCCCACTTAAGATGAAACAGAGCAATTTATAGACTATCGGGAATTGTAAGGTCAGAGAATCAGTCTAGCAGGTTTGTATCCCTTCACAGGTGTGTACCCATAATCAATTAAAAAAAGTTTTTGAAGTTTGTGCAGCAAAGAGTTTGCAAGCAGTTTTTGATAAAAAAAAAAACAGTTTTCTCCAATGCTGGTCGGCTGACCAGTGTTGGAAAAATACATTTTTTCTTGAAAATGTTAGCACACCAGGAGCCACGATTTTACAGGGTATTTTAGACGTCATTCCCTTACAATCCAGTAAGGTATTTCGTGATAATTTGGTCATTTCGTTTTTTGATGTTTGCAGATGTTGTATCTTCCCTTTAATGAATGTTTGTTATGGTGGCTACGCGCGGGTAAATACCCAGCACTGACTGGCTTTTATTCGCTCTCAGTTGGTGCCCATGCATAACCGTTATGTGCAATTTCCATTAGCGCGTCGTTGAGCCAGCATCTCCCGCCGTTCCTACCGAGCTATGTACCCCTCATCGCTGGATCGTGGCCGAGGCTGACGGTACTGGAGACCTGGACTGTCGTGGCCCGCCTGATGTGGCTGACTTCCCGGGCTCAACGCCGACTAACCTGTGGCTTGGCTGATCTACGGCCGGGTGCGGAGATGTTTGGTTTGACGGTTGCGCTAATACCGTTGTGGGCTATTGTGCCGCTACTTATCATATTTAATGTTCCAAATTCCACTTTTTCATGACCCAAGTCTAAATAGATCAAAACAAGTGTATCTTAAGTATTATTCTACAGCATGTCATGAATTCAGACCCCAAGGACAACTTTGTAATGACCTCTGATCTCCATTTCCCTTTTTGAAGGGTAGACCTTTTTGAAGGGTAGACAGGGGCGAAACAGAATACAAGAGGTATATTGGACAATAATCACACTCTAACAATGACCAGTGGGCTTGGTAAACAGGTGAAAAATGTGGTGACCAAAGTCCATCTAGATACCACAGAGTGTAATTAGTACTTAAGAGTAACTTTTGTTAGACATTTGTACATATTACATTGTAAAGAAAGTCCAACAGTCTTCTATCCCAGTCGCAACATGTTGCGTCTGCCAATTGAAAAGGGGAAATGGAGGTCAGATATCACACCAATTTTTTTTATGGGCTTTGAATTCATTACATGACTGTATAATAATAGGTGCAATACCTTTCTTTTGCAATATTGAGGCTTGGGTCACGAAAACAAGGCGTTTTGACGAATAAATATAAAAAATAGCGAAAAATAAGGTATTTAAAGTTCATTGACCTATTCAAGGGTACCAAAGGTCGGATTATTATGACCCCATATCTGAAAATTCTTTTCATGTCACAAAGGGCAAACTTTTAGACTTGGGTCCTAAAATAGTTGGGTTTTGAATAATAAATCTTATAAAAATCTATAAATAGGGTATACAAAGTTTATTGACCTCTTGAAGGTCACCAGAGGTCAGATATGAAATGCCCTACATGTGAAACAAAAAATCATAGCATGAACACCTAACATTTAGACTTAGATTTAAAACGTTGAGGTTTAAAGAGTAAATCATAATGACAAAATATGTATACAAAGGTCATTGACCTCTGGAAGGTCAATAAAGGTCAAATATTTTTTTGTTTTCACTCTGATCTTTATTTTCATGGCCTGAAGACCTATGACATAGACTTGGGTCATGGGAAGAGGTGTTTACAAGAACAATTGTTATAAATAATGTATGTTAAGGTCATTGACCTCTCAAAGGTCACCAGAGGTAAAATATGAAATGTCTCCACATCTGAAAATTTTCTTTATGACATGAAGAATCAACATGCGAAGTTTCATGCTTTAGTCTCAAAGTGCACAATCGTATCACTCATCAGCCCACTGTGTGTTAATTTTGTTCAGACGCAGATTTTCAGTAGACGTTGACTTCAGTCAGGCAGAGGTTTTTTTAATCTGTGTTCGATGTAGCCTTCACCAAGGCTATCAGCTTGTTGCCGCGACACACTAGTTGAATGATGCCGTTAGCCTCAACGACCCTTGCGTGTGCTCTGTGTGCATGTGCGTACACACCACACACACTTCCGCAAACACCCGTACAGTAAGTCGAGGTATCCTCCGCCTCGACTTACTGTATGGCTGTTTGCGGAAGTGTGTTGGCATACGTACATGCACACAAAGCACACGCAAGGGTCGTTGAGGCTAACGGCATAGTACAATAGTGTGTCGCGGCGTATGCGGTATTGTAGCGGGAACAAGCTCGTATGGGAACAAGTGTGAGCCTTGGTCAAGGCTATGTTCGATGCTTTGTGATGGGTGACCACTATTTGTGTGACGTGCCCTCTATTGAAAGAAAATTCAAGTAGACCGTTCGACCGATTTTTTTTTCCATGCAAGACCACTTTAGGCCAAAAAAAAAGTCTCCAGTTTCTGGTATGGAGCTTGCCGCAAAAGTGGTGCGGCGACGCGGCTTTTTTTTTTTTTTTACGTGTTTTTTTCTTTTTGGGGGGGGGCTTCAAATGTCGGCTGATGACTGCAAATGGTGCCCGACTAAACTTAGTGCAAATGTATGGGAGTCCAGAGAGGCCACATAAATCTTATTCTCGATCATAACCCCATCTAAAAACACGTTAAAATTGTGCAGCAGCAGAATTCCAGTCAAACCAGTGAGTTTGGCGGTTTTGAAACATCATCTTGTATTGAAAAAAAAACTATTTCATTTTGCCGACACGCATGGCTACGGCGACGCGCGCGCATACCAGAAACCGGAGAATTTTTTTTTTTTGGCCTTAGCGGGCCCTTTTTCTAGAAAATCTTTTAAGTTGACCAACATGTTTGGGTAAATGCCCTTGCAAAGTAGTCCGACAAACCGGAAATTTACATTTAATGAAACAGTCTTTATTTCTTCCTCTGCTAAACGAATGTGTTCGCTCGTCCCCCCGCCCTACAAATAGGCCGCTGGAAAGGGCTAATCTCTTTGAGCTCTCATTGGATAGATTTTGCGTGACCTGTGACGTACAATGCATTACACATAATTATAGCTGTACTTCTTTCACATGAGTCTGTGACGCGAATTAACCCTGTCTGCAGGGCGGGGGTACGAGCAAAAACGAATGTGTTGCTTTTGTTCCAAGAAAGTTGACTGTCCACGACAGGAATGAGATACGTCCCAACGTTGGTGGCGCTACCCATATGGGCGCCGCCAGAATTTTTTTTCTGGGGGAGCACATTTTTCCCAAAAATCCTGTAGGCCTACTTTCTGTAGCATATTATTCTCAATTGATCCTTTTTTTGGGGGGGGGGACATTAATCTAGCCACCCCACCCCAATTGACACCCCTGCAGACGCCCATTTTTTGTGTAATTTGTATTAAACTAATAGCAACTATGACTTCAAGTTCACACCTCTTGTTTTTTTCCCCGTTTTTTCGGTTGCTATTCCGGGGGGGGAGGGAAGCGCCCTCCCCCTTGCCCCATCCTTTTGACGCCCATGGCGATACCCATCCGTTACCCCGACCTCTCCACCCCACTTCCCCGGGTGAATGTATTAGATCGTGCATTATTCAATGCATGATAGAACGAAGCGAATGCACATTCTTTTTTTAGTTTTGGTATATCCACACTAGAATATTCACGCTTGGTATAGAACAAAAACAAAGGGATATTCCCTTTGTCACAATTTACACACCCCTTTGGTACGAGTGGAAGAGGCTCCATCGGTTCACAAGTACCCCCCCCCCCCCCCCCCCCCCCCCCCGGTCCCCGGCAAAGGGCGGCGCGTGTTTACAGTGTGACGTCGACGGTATGTCAAGTTCATTATTGCGCAATTACCGGCAGGGGAAGTCCCACAAGCAAACGCAATTTATGCAAACGTATTAAAAACCGAATGAGTGTCGTATGACGGCCGAACAAAACAGCGTACTTTCAATGGAACAACACGTATATTAAGAGATGACGCGTAAGTTGTGTTTTCCTTTTGTGGTTTAATGGTGGTTTTGGGGTTATGAGGCTGTTTATTATTTATACTGGCTCCGGGGGTGTTTTTGAATGTGTGCCTGACTGATTGGTTGGACTCTCAGTGGTTGACTGGTTGTATGCTGGTTGAGAGTGCCAGGTAGATTCCTCCGTATAGTGGCGTAGTGCCGTAGACCATAATGACCATGTATGAAAAGTCTTCCAGTGAATAGCCATTCTGAATCTATTGAATATAATTACTTGTGCTCTGAAACCATGCAGTACTTCGCCGGCTTGTCTTGTTTCCAGTTGTGTCAGCCTATATACAGGGTGAGTAAGAAAACACGAGACCCAAATGTCGGGGGCTGTATCATAAGTCCGACGCCTCATAGGTCCGACGCCTCATAAGTCCGAAATTTCGGACTTGTGAGCAAATGAACTCTCATCAATCGCGAATTCATTGCGCCCGCTGTCGGTCTAATTGCGCAATTCTGATATAACGTCTATCTAGCCCCTCCCCTCCCCCTCCCCCCCCCCCCCCCCCGCCACACTGAAAAATAATAGTAATAAAATCATTGTTAAAAAGGGTGCTCGTTTATTAAGAAACCCATGAAGTAAAATATCCAAACTGATTGAATATTTCCAATGTGTCTTTCCCGTTTGGAAAAGCTCAATTTGAAAGCCCACGAGCGAGATGACCGCCGCCCGTCCACGAACACATTCTCGTATTATTATTTTTGATGAGGCTTGTGGTTTTTACCGAAGTCAATTGAGCGTGGCCGTCTGATAAGGTCTGCATTTTGTGTAGAATCATGGTATATCCGGTACCAACTTCTACCGTGACGGCAATGTGTCAGTAATGGAATTAACAAAATAGTAATTTATGGGTCATCGTGGCCATTGTCACATGCATCGCGGGATCTCATTACCAGCACAGCCCTGTTTGACCTCAGTTTCTCGTCCCGAGGTCAAGCACGCATGGTCCAAAAGCGTACGCCAGATTTTACGAGATTAATTTGAGACTACAGAAAAACACAAAAAGTGCCTCGATACATGCACTGTTTGGCCAAGATGGCTAAATAAGTGAAAAGTTGAAATCGTGTGCTTATTTTGATAACAAAAATAACTGCTTTTGACAAATATAAAGTGTTGTTATGGCCTGTCAAAATCATCAACAAAATCGAGGGCCGATAGTTTTTAGGTGTACATTCGATTCTTTAAAAAAGGCCGAAACAAATGGCAAGGCTTAGTAGATAGAGGAAAGCATACGCTTCATTTTCATGTGACACACGTGCAGGAGACTTCTAATGTTTGGTCCAAATCGTCGGTTGAAAAATGAAGACATTTACGAGATTTCATGATTTGCAATCACATGTACGCGTGTAAACGAATGTAAGTACGTCGACGTACAAAATGTACATGTACGTTGGCCTGAAAACATTGTGAATAGCACGTTCGAACGCGCAATAAATGACTTATGAATATTAAGCAGGCCCATACTCGAGCTCGACCAATCAGTAGGCGTATGGGTCACAAGGTCACACCGTGTTTGGGTTCCTCGCTCTATGCTTTACAATGGCGACCATCTTTTCGCGTTGTGAAAAATGGAAGTTGTTGGAAACATTAGGTGTACATCGAATTCTTAAAATATTAACGACATCACGTTCACGAGTTTTTTTGTAGATGAAGGTTCACTCTTTGATTACCTGAACATTTGGGAGACTTTCGTCGTTCTCGAAAAAACCCGGAAATTTCATGACCTAATTGAAATAATATCGTCAAAATGCATCGAAATCCTTTTTTGAGGAAAAAAATACCTTGATAGATGTATGAAGTAGGTCTTTAACTACCTAAAACAACTTTGTTTGTTTGGATCGGTTATGGTTTGCCATGAAAATTGCGAATTTTCTGAAGCCATTTTACGGCCATCGTTCGCTGGCCTGGCGTTGCTATCAGTTGTGTGGACGAGAAAATAGAGGAGCTACGCGTGACACGGCAACTGACTGATTACCTTTATGTAGAGTGCCATTTACAATTTGAAATTTCCACACTTGGAACTGCGTATATAATCTGAAGCTCTCTCTCCTCCAACCTTATGCTGGTTTATATATTTTTACCCGGTTGGAAAGATATTCCAGGTTACTTTATGTGCAGATCCAGCAGAGTGTGGTTTAAATGTAGCTTAATGTAGCAGGATTTCTAGAACATCTTTTTGATTTTTGAGTTTTGGTTTTTTAGAAAGAGTTAAAAATAAATCATCAGCATAGCTTGTTGTGGTTAGAGATGGTGGAGCCCTCCATGTTTTTATTGCCAAGTCAAGATATTGTTTTGCTACTGGATATTTAGTGTAGGCCCTATTCTTACTTATTTTACCTAGCTTATCACCTCTATATAAAGTATATTTCTTACAAGACCACGATAAGAATAGAACGGTAAAGTTGCCATTAAATTGCCAGCAGATATGTAGGACCTGATCAATAAGCAAGTCCTTTTATCATGTGTAGTATTTTGTCTTTTATCTGTAGATTCAATCTTTTGTCTCAAATCACCGCAAGTGGTGATTCCTCTTCTTTGTTGTTTGGTTATCGGGATTTGTTCACCTGTACCAGGGGATTTGCCAAGGCGCAAACTCAGAAATACAGTCGGAGAGAACATCGGTGACGGTAAACACATACATTATTATTGATCAACAATCATGGGCGTCGCGAGGGGGGGGGGGCAAGGGGGGCACTTGCCCCCCCCCCTGGAAAAACAAAAAACAAAAAACAAATGGAAGAAGAAAAAAAGGAAAAAAAAAGAAAAAGAGGCGCGAAGACAAAGTGGTGTAAATTTAATGAGTGGGGGGGGGGGCAAAATGTCCCTGCCCCCTCTAAAACTGATAAATCGAGAATGTGTTGAGAAATACAAGCATTTTTTGGCAAAAAAAATGTTTGCCCCCCTCTAGAAAAAATCCTGGCGACGCCCATGTCAACAATATAGTGTCAGTTAGAAATAAGTGGATACATTTACAGAGCTATCGTCACAACTGTGGCTCCATAGATCTTGTAAGCAGTAAAATTTTGTGTTCAGAAAAAAAATCAATAGAGATGAGGACCACGCCTTCGCTCCCAAATATCAAACCTCCCTTTCCTGAAAGCTAGATCCGCCCCTGCTTGCAGACAGGCTATGAAGCAAATATTTCAAACGATTGTGCAATATTTCCGTTTGATTGTGTACATTAGTGTGTGTATTTTTGTTCATCCCTATAAAGTTCAAGGGAAGGGCATGCCGTTCCGCGTAAAGGGCCGGGGTCCGCATTCTGCATGTTTTGCACAAGCATTTCCCAGTACTACGGTCCTCAATTGAAAACCAGATCCAGACACTCGTGGGCTTGAGATATCAGTGTGGATGACACAATTAGGGGAGAAATTTGGACTTTGGTCTTTTCTGATTTCCGTTCGAGATTTAGCTTCCTTGAACAAAATATATATAATCGAATTATTGGAAACAATTACCGTATATAATTAACGTGTGTTTAAACTTAAAATCCGTTAATATTTTTCCCAATCCTTCACCGCACAATAGCAGTATACTTGCAAATTTAGTTAAATGAAATTGTCGTCCAATTGTTTAAATTCTTCTGATGTCATGCACATTTATAATCTCACAGCAATTCTATCTTATTCTGTTAAGTCAAATATTAATGGTTTGAACATGGAATGTTTCTCTTGAACTTTTTGTTCCAGAGGAGAAAAACCAAATCTGTAGAGACCATTATGGTTCTCAAGAGTACATATGGGTTCCCGAGCCGTTAAATAAGTGTGAGCCATGCAGCTTTGCATGTTCCAGATCGACAGAGGCCTATTGCGAAGCATGCCCAGGTAAGTGTCGCTATGAATGTTTGAATCGGAGAGACCGTTTACCATTACTATATCAACTAGAACGTATACGACATCTGTGAAGTGAAAAGAATGACACAAAAGAGGTAAAAGCAACAGCAAAATTCAGGCGCGGAATCTAAATTCATAGAAATTCCTTACAAAGAATGCGAAGCCCCCTCCTCCCCCCCCCCCTCCCGCTCTGACACCCAAACAAATTACACTGGTAATAATGTCCGCCTGTGCACAAAATACGAAAAGAGCCAGCTTGGTTAGGGGTTATTTGTACACTATTCTGTAATATAGTCTTAATAATCGTTGGATTTGAACAGCGCCCATTGAAAGTATGGTACGAGCCCTCCCCCCCCCCCCCCCCCCCCTACTGATTTTCGGAGGCCAAGTGTCCGGAGGAAAAAACCTGTCTACATTTCAGAATTTTTTCCTGATGAACCCCCCCCCCCCCCCCCCCCCGCGAAAATTCCTGGATCCGCCCCTGATATCATACCAACAGACTTATAGAATGACAACAGCTAACGCACATCCATTCTCTCACAGCCTCGGGAATGAACATGATACTTTTATATTCCTCCAAGCCTCAAGTAAAATGATTGACACATTTAATACAGTTCTTTTATGAGTATTGGAATGCTGAAACACCCGTATCCTGATTTGTTTTCTGAAACCACTTTGGTTTGGACATATTTAGTTTTGGGAAGGAAACATTGTGTGTGAATATGTTTTTTGTATAGCTGTTTTAGAAAGGAATGGATCGTTGGCATGTTTGTTCATGAGTATGTCTGTGCCAGGCGGTACTCCATGGATAACGAGGAACAAAAGAGTATCCAATACGCACTGTCCCACAATGGGGCAAGGTCATGTCCATGGTCCAAATGAAACAGGTGGTTTCCTGATTGCGAAATGTTGCAGGGAGAATCCCTATTACCGTATTAGGACGTCCTTTGTATTTCTATGGTTCGCATTTTTGTTTGCCACTGAAGTAGGGTTGGTCGGATGAAACATAAAAGAATTATTATTATATTTATTTTTTTTTGCAGTTGCACCCGTACATAGTAAAACGAAATGATGCACAGTGGGTATTGTCTCCAGTTTTATTTATTGCAATGACTTTATCATGAGTTGATATCACTGAATGAAATAGTCATATTTGGCAAGATATTGTTGACTTACCATGGGCGGATCCAGGAATTTTCGCAGGGGGGGGGGGGTCATCAACCACAAATTCTGAAATGTACAGGTTGTTTTTTTCTCCGGACACTTTCCCTCCGAAAATCAATAGGTGTGTGCGTGGGTGTGTGTGTGTGGGGGGGGGGGGGGGGGGGCTCGTACCATAATTTCACCGGCGCTGTTCAAATACGACGATTATTTACACTATACATGTATTACAGAATAGTGTACGAATACCCCCAACTAAGCTGGCTCTGTCCGTATTTTGTGCACAGTCACGCGGACATCATTACCAGTATAATTTGTTTGGGTGTCAGAGCGGGGGGGGGGGGGGGGGGGTCGCATTATAATGTACACAGTCAGAGCTGGGGTGACCCCCCCCCCCCCGGATCCGCGACTGCTTACATTATAACTGCACCAAGTAGCTCACTAACGTGTAATGTTTTGGCTGTACACAAATGTAGTGACAACCGTGACATACTAGTAAAGGTATGACACCTATGATGAGAGGCAACATCCTCTGGGATTCCACTGTTCGCTATACGCCGTACTTCACCTAAAATACAAATCTGATAATCGTTTTTAATAGCTTTTCAAATAACACAGAGCCTGAACTTTATTTTAATAAATGAGGGATGGTTAACGTGTAATCGAGCAGTTTCCAAGTATTTCAGGGGTGAATTGGGGATATTTTTAAAGGGATGGAATGGCGGGTGAGGTCTTGAAGTCTAGGATTTTTTTAGAGGGAGGTGGCGAGGATGCTAACCTAAAAATCAGAGGGGGAAATTCATAGAATTCAAAGGCGTTATACAGTGACCAGAGAATTGCATTATGAATGGACAATTAGGGACGAGGGGGGTGGGGTGGTCAGTTGAAAAAGCTTGGTCAATATCCGCCCCATTTTTTTCCTCTAAACACAGCCAAATTTTTGGTGTGATACAGACTTTAATTGTTACACTATTATAATGCTTGTCTCTTTCAATATTGCAGCTTAAAAGTGTTGACTTTACTGTACTAAGCTGCAGGAAATAACGCTTTAGAAACCGTTTTAGACTGTCGTAATTCATGTTATTTTGATTTTATTTATGTATTTATTTATTTTGGGGGGTAATTTCCTTGATAAATGAAGGAGCCACCACTACACAGGCACCTGCGGAGACGACCTCCACGGCCCCGCCTACCCAGGCTGCTACGACGGTCCAGACCATCATGGAAGACCCGATTCTACCAACCGCATCTGATCAAGTTGTAACCGGGGGATCTGTGGCTGATGCAACCACAACCGAAGCAAGAACTGATGGGAATGATTTGCCATCAAGAAAATGTTTGTTCCTTAAAAATCGTATTCCTTATAAATGCCTTTTAGACAACTTAATATTGAAGTTTACTTGATTTAATCCAAATTTTGTCTTTAATGTGTTCTATGTAGGCCTAATATAGCCCGAACAGTGCACATAGAAGGTTTAAGTGGCAATATCCATACAGATGTCTGTGTTTGAAATTCCGAGCAAAATACATGTATGCTGTGTTGGCAACCAAACGTCGGTCGGTCGCATAAGTTTCCCACAAAATATAACTACCAAATTTTAATTTTCAAAAAAGCAAACAAAATAAATTGAATACTTAACAAACATTTCAAATAAAAGCAAACAAAATAAATTAAATGCTAAACAAAAATTGTTTGTAACAATTGGGAAAGATGTTTATGAACAGTATGTAAAATGGAGGCAAAATAATTATGTGCAGTAATATTATAGTCACGTGGTATTTATTACAAATCGCTATATATCTAGTTATATATCAAAAGTGTGGTGCCCATATGTGCCATCGGCCTCGCATTTTTTGGCGTCGCTTTTTTTGGCGTCGCATTTTTTGGCATCACATTTTTCAGCTCTTGCAGGGCCCATCATTTTGATAAATTTAATGCAAGAATTTCATGCAAGATGATCAGAGCTTATTGTGCACTCGCCCTTGTTTTGCATCGAAGTGCTCTTGGAACCCTGAAGGTTCGCTTTGGCGATTTTGTTTTATATTCCATTTTCGTTGTGCTTTTTATTCTTTACAGTGAACGTCGGCATGGTGGTGGGCATTGTCATTCTGCTAGTAATTGTGTGCATCTTGATTGTGTTCCTGATCGTATGTGCACATAATTGGCTGAGAAACAAACGAGGTATGATGTTCGCACTTGCAACTTAACTATCTTCACCCCTTTTCACTAATATTTCAGCCGAGGAGCAGCACAAATCCAATACCAGTTCTTAAGATACTATTGGTCCAATTTTTTTTCGTGGGCAAATGGGTCCACTACTTGAAAAGAGTATTTAGTGTATCATTAAAGGCCTTCGAGCCGGAGAGATATACTCAAAGGCAGATCAAGAACATAATTTGGGTTTTTTTTTGGGGGGGCCAAAAAAAACGTGATCCCCAAAAAGTGGGTCCAAAAAAAAGTACGGCGTGGGATTCGGGGCCCGTTTAAGGGCCCCGAACATTTTTTTGATTCTAGATGCTCAGTGGTGCGATCTGAGGCAATTTCTGACCACTTTAACCATTTTTTTTTAGGAAAAGATGGTGGTGTACTTATTGGCTGACTTAATTGCGATGTCACTTAAAAAAAAAAAAAATGGGTTTTTTTTGGGGGGGGGGGGGGCATGGCCCCCTGGATCAGCCCTTGGATATACTCAGCACGATATATGACAGAGGGGTACAACACAATCTCCCTATACACATCCTAGACTAATGTTACCTAACACATCCCCCATTCTCAAAAGAATTTCTGAGATTCTAGTGAACACAATGATCAACGCACAAAGGAGGGGGACCGTCGTTCCGTCTGTCGCATACTGCGCTACACTGGGGAGAGAGGCAAGCCCACGCATACACCCCAGTTACACCTTTTCTATTTATTCCATTGCATTCCATGTTATCATGAAGGCGCTGGAGAGCCAGAGAGTCGTGATGAGCCCAACCCAGAGGAGCTGCCATTGTCAGTCGAAGACAGCCACCCTGCATCCTCCAACCACCCGTGGTATTCAGACCTCAATGGCGTCACTGCCGACCCACGCCCAGTTGGCATTCTTAACGAATCGGAAGTCTAATACCATCAAAGGGTAGTCTTTTTTTTTTTACACAACTATAGGGACCACAATAGAGAATTATAATAAAAGACACCATGGGAAATGACGTCACTTCCATCCTCACAGGACTAAGAATTTTAGACGCAACTACTCTGAACGTAATGATCTCGATTTCACCACACGTAGGCCTATTGAACTTTTAAAGAATTTTTTTTCTAAACTTTTTTTAAAAATTGCTTTTAGTCAATTTGACTATTGTTGGTTTGGATTTTTAATTTTTTTTAGGGAATACAAGTCCGGAAACCTGTCCTGCAACTCTTATGGCAAAGTAAACAGAATCCCTAGATATAGATGTGTAAAAAAAAAAAAGGATGCGGAAGGGCGGATCAATGAGACAGGCAAAATGAAACAAAACTGAAAATCAAAAGAAAATTTTTAAAAACAAAGACTTCAGTGTTCTTTCGAGAGGGTGGGGATGGCTCCTGTAAGAAACCTCGAACAACCCTACCCTTCTTAGTACGAGGCATAGTATTTGCTAATTGCGATGCATATTATGTTGATGCACGGTCGGTACATAATTATAAGCATTACTTATTGAGAGACTTATACCGACACTGTGGAAATTGTCAAGATGACGACTACAGACAACTGGTCGAAACGGAGGCCAATGTTGCATGTTATGTACAGCTGCATGCCTCTGAGAAGAAAACAAATCGTCAAACGGGAGGTCTGGGGGATTGGAAGAAAAGGTAGACATGACACGTCTCCTATCCGACCCCCACTGGCCCAAGACGATACTAAGAGAATTTGAAGCAGTGGACCATGGAGGATAACTTGTTGTCCTTCAAATAGGCAAATAAGCCATATTGCTTCATTTTCTAAAGTGATATTATACGCAACTTTAATGCTGTTGAATAAACAGTATTATACAAGACTTACTGTTGAATTTCCCTCGGCTGTGCAAGCTGAGGGAAGGTTCAAACATTGTTGAGAGTGTACAGTCTTATATAGGCGGTATTTTAAACTGCACTTTTTGATGAAATCTGGAAGATAAATTTTGATTTTGTCGAAAAACTTTGCTATTTTTGTTTGCTTATATGAGTATGATAGGAATTCTATATTATTGCAATTGGCAAAATATGGAAATGGTTTTAGTTGCATGCTGTTGTTGTTTGTACGAGGGTACGTACTTATTTTGGTCTTGAAGTTTCCTGATACAATTTTTGTAATTGATGAAGTTTTGACATGGATTTCTGGTTACCTTGTTTCAAAACAGAACAATAAAAAGCTGCAAATGAAGAAACAAAAGCAGCGGAAAGCAAAATGAATTTTCAATCGCTCAAAAAACAAACAGAGGTGTTATCATTTTAAAAACAACAACACCAACAAACTTACAGCACCGGTAACAACTCTTCCCTTAATTGCGTTGGATCAGTTATTCGAAACTACTGTGGTGTAGACCTGTATATTAAATTTCTTAAAAGCGATGAATTATGCATTTTAATACTTAAAATGAACATTGAGCTTTGAAAAAGACAAAAATATTTGTCTCCATGCAGCAAGTTTGAAATTACAATGGCGAATAGAAATGTTTTGTACTCTTCTAGACAGTCTAGCCTATAATGGTTCGAAATTTAAAAAAAAAAAAATCCCAGGAAACAACCACTGAAAGCTTTAAATAAAAGTGTCGAATAAAAAAGAAAATAAAAGTTGAAATACGGAGGTAAAAAAAGAAGTTTCGTAAGGAAAATACGGATAAAATCTCATGTCATTTTTTTTCTTTTCATTGTGAAAAAAAACAAGACAAAAGCGCTTGTACATTGCTTGTAGTAGACAAAATGACTTGGTGTTTCTACAGGTTCGTGCAAAAAGAAGGAAACCACTTTTGACAGGAATGTTAACTTAATTACTTAACTTATTTCAACTGCTTATTTTTTTAATAATGTAGTGAAGTATAGCTCTTCAACCACACATGGTGTAAACATCTTTTCAAAAATCGCAACAATAGTGTTGTTATGCTAATTTGAATACAAGTCACCATAATCACTGTTATCCACGTGTTTTTTTGTCTTCAAATCAATCTCTGGAGCTCAGTCAAGCGGATGGAATAAAGCTGTCCGGGGACAAACATGTTTGGCGCATGAAATTTATTATCTCAGAGACAAAATATCCATTTGCAATCATTTTTTCGGCACTTATGTTTAAAGATCAATATTTTAATACTATTAAATTGAATTTTTGAAATATGCTCAACAGTTGAAAATTGCTGCCTAAAGTGGGGTTCTTTCTTTTTGCACCACCCTGTATGTATTTGTTCATGCATGTACAGTTTTTCTGCTACTTAATTATTGCATAAATTCATTGTATTTCATCACAAGTGTTTTTTTTTTTTACTATTTTTGAAAGATTAATCCAAGTTCAAGGAAGGAAATTGCATGAAATGTCTTTTTGCCCTGCAGTTTTTGAATCAACCACGTTAATTTTTAAAGCTATTTCTTGATATTAGCTCTTTTGGGTCAATTTAAAAAAAAATCAATATCAAGCAATGTCGATAAATTTCGCCCTTCCCCTTATAAGGGAAAAAAAATAATTTCATGCAGTCTTAATTGTTTTACATCGCCTTCATTTAAAAAAAAAAGGTAGAATAATGCTTAAACTAAAAAGGTTTAAGTATGACTTATACATGTATAATGCTCTTTTAGTTAGATCTGACCCAAGAGTAGAGTAGATACAGAGGGAAACACCAAGCAAAATAATCATGAAAACTGTCTAGAAGGTTTTTTTGTTTAACTCTAAAAAGTGAGAGGTACACGATTCGAAATTTAATGTAAAACGAAGCCTAACTTTGTCCTTTGCACCAACCACCATGCATGGAAATAATTGGTCAACTCATGTCTTTTTGGATGGAAGGAAATGTCTGAATAAAGGCCCTATCGGGATTCAAGTTGAGAAAGTTAAAATTTCAAACCAAATCATGGAAATCTTTGCTCAAAGCTATAAAATCTGAGGGGCGGCGCTAATAAAGAATTTTTTTGGTTAGGGGGATCTCTCTGTTGTCAAAAAACCTCACCGAACTCAATTCTTTTTATCCTCTTTTGTGCATAGTTTTATAGCTTGCTTGTCGATGTAGTGTCACATTCGTTGTGCAATATAGTGCAATTCTAATAAAATAATAGTGTAGCAGCCCAGTTTTTGAAATTGCTGTTGGTAATTTGTGGTTCTTGTTACAGGGGCGACTCTAGGATTTCGCAGGGGGGGGGGGGGTTATCAGCAAAAATTCTGAAACGTAGACAGGGTTTTTTTTCTTCGGACACCTGGCCTCCGAAAATCATATAGGTGGTGGTGGTGGTGGTTGGGGGAGGGGGAGTATGGGGGTACGGGGGGGGGGGGGGGGCTTGTACCATACTTTCAATGGGTGCGCTGTTCAAATCCAACGATTATTAACACTATATTACAGAATAGTGTACAAATAGCACATAACCAAGCTGGCTGTGTCCGTATTTTGTGCACAGGCGGACATTTTTACCAGTATATTTTTTTCAACGTGGGGGGGGGGTTGACCCCAACCCCAAACCCTGGATCCGCGCCTGTGTTACTTTGCAATCCCTTTGGTTTTTAAATCAATACCGACAATCTCTCTTTTAGTTTCAGTTGTCACACTTGTTGTTCTCATCACAACTTCACTGATTAACATCCGAATGACGAGAAGTCCGGGGGCTTAATTTAACACAAAACTTCAACCTCAATTTAACCCAAAAAAATCAACACAAAACGGATTGAGCAGGGCCGAGGTTTCTTAAAATTGAAGACACATGTTGAAATTGTTTTAAGATATTCCTACAATATCTTGGTGGTATATGGTGAAAACGGCGTTGAAAATAAAGCTCGTTCAAAAAATAGCAGCCCGGCATTTACAGAAAAATGGTCATTGTCCATGTCTATGGCAGTCATGTAGACCTAATTACAATAATTGCAGTTCTTTGCAGTGCTATTGGTGTTGACCAGATCTCATAGGGCCTACATAGACTTGAGTGTGGCCGGGCTTGTTTTTGACCATCTTTCTTGACCATCGACATTTCTTAATTTAGTCCATATTTTCAGCGCCGTTTTCACCATATACCATGCATGCAGGAAGATGCTGTAGTTTAGGAATATCTTGAATTTTTTTAACATGTCTCCCCAATTCCCAGAAATCTGCATCCCTGAAAAAAAATGTAACCGGTTTTTTTTTCAAGTTCAATAAAGAAAATGCAAAGTCCTTGAAACCACAATAGACAAAACAGACAATTAAAAAAAAAAACTTGCAAAGACGACTTTAGTTGCGCAATCATCTGATTGCGAAATATATTTAGGGGAATCCTCGTATGTCATCGTACGTGGGTGTATACCTCGTGCAAAATGACATCCATTGTTAGAATATTGAGGACAAGTCTTTCTGGGCCACTGATCTCTATTGTGGCCCCCGATAGTACGGTGCTCGCTGTGTATCGTTTCTATAAACGACTTCGGACGGTTTTCTGCATACGCACTACGTTTCCATGCAGATGGTCAATGATGGCCCACCCGTAATGGGGATATCTTTCACTTGGTGGTCGATGCACACTTTTTCCCCTCTGTTTTTGAACAATGTTCATTAGAACACTGGTAAATTAGAGAATACAAGTCAAAATCTTGTTTTATTCGGAATAAAAATAACATGATGGAATTAACAAACGGCACTAGCTTTATGGTGCACGAAATGGGGGTTTCTCAGTCGGTAGGTGTTTTCAGTAGAGCTACTGAACCCTACACAACTGGTATCCTGTCACAACCTAAAATACGCACACCACTGAATAATCTGTGAACCACTAGCCCACTGTGTAAATCAGTCTCCATAGAACTTTGTACAATAAAAAAAAATCACTACTACATACAACTGTGTACAAAATATAAAAAAGCTGCTTTTTGAAGGGTAGTTGAAATCACTACTCACTACTCCATTGACACGTGTCCGTGTAGGACTTGTGTAGTGACTTTTTGTACACGTGTCTATGGAGTAGTGAGTATAGTGATTTCATCTCCCCTCCAAAGAAGCTTTTTTTAGTTTGTACACAGTTCTATGGAGTAGTGATTTTCCTTGCGTGTAGGACTTGTGTAGTGACTTTTTGTACACGTGTCTATGGAGTAGTGAGTAGTGATTTCATCTCCCCTCCAAAGAAGCTTTTTTAGTTTGTACACAGTCTATGGAGTAGTGATATACTCATGGTCCATGGTGTCAGATACAGAGAGCGTATCGTTGGAAATGTACGAGTAGTGCTTGTAGCGCTACTCAACACATGTGGCAAAATGTTTCACCCCATATCTTGCATGGTATCCTGGAGCTCCAGGCTGTGTAGTCGGGTTCTCAGACCAAAAGATTCTGACTATTCCTGATAAAGATTCATCAGGGTGCAGACCAGTAAATCGGTCCGAAATTGCATACGCCGGCCAAATCACGATTTGCATGCCCCCAAATCTTCAGTATTTGAGCATGCTGTGGGCCATGAACTTGAGGGTTTGTAAAAAAATATGGGTACAAGCCGTGCACAGGACTGGGAGTTTGCAGTTCTGTGTAATTTGGATGTAATTTTGACCCTAAAAGCGCTCTATTTTGCAATGGAGTGTAGGCATCGTTTTTCAAAATGGCGATGGGCTTGAGGACTATTTTCAGGGGTGATCATCTTCAGATGGAAATTTCTCCTAAAAGTCTTTAATTGACACCCCAAAAATTGAAAAGAAAATGAAAGATGATGAAATAAGCTTTAATTTGATGTGTGTCTCGAACACCTTGGACAGTTGTGAGTATTTTTCCCGAATTTTTGAAGTGGGAGCATTTACCATTGGGGTCTATGGAAGTTTATTTACTGGTCTGCTACCATCAGGAGTAGTTGGTCTGGGAACCAGACTAGCAAACTGCATTTTTTAACCACGGCCTGCAAAACTATGGAAGGTCCAACACTGCAAAAATGAAGAAGAGTTATTACAGATCACCAAAATATAATTTGATACTTAAAAATACAACATTTTCAACAAAGCTACAAAATAATTCCTTACACATGCTTTTTTACTATGTGTTGATGGCGTTATGAGGACTTTTTTGGAAAACTATGTTGCCAACCACGGCTTCAATTTATGCGCTTACGGCAGCCCATACAAAATGGCGCCATTGTTTACAAACAAAAGAAAAGCGCCGCAACCGGCCCGGCGCTACAGGATCTTTGAACCAGACTAGAACGAAAAATGAATTCATGGCGCAATGGCGCGATGATCGAATCGGGAAAGACCCTCGTCCATGTCGTTGTGATTGCTCAATCTATCTAGAATGACATAGGGCCTAACATCGGTTTCGTCACACCGGATATCCTGACGAGTTTGTGTGAGTGAAAACTGATGATTTGTGTTTTTCATTTGCGGCGAGGTTAGCCCCATAAATGTGGCCTATTTACTGGACTGCCTCCGTCATGTCCGTAAACATAGGCCACACATCCACATATGTACAAAAACGTGTCGCACTTTGCCAAATTGTGATTTTCACATTTAGGCTTAGTTTGTAGGGTTTTTTTGCTTTAGTCTAGAAGCATACTCATCCTCTTTATAGGCTAATCAGAAAGTGCTGCCTTTTTCAGATGGCTAATTTTTGTGAAATTTCATGTTGAAATTTTGATACGCAAACGTGTGCAAATGAATCTGGAAATTTCACGAAAAATAGACATCTGAAAAAGGCAGCACTTTCTGATTAGCCTATAAAGAGGGTGAGTATGCATCTAAAGCAAAAAAAACCTACAAACTAAGCCTAAATGTGAAAATCAAAATTTGGCAAAGTGCGACACGTTTTTGTACATGTGGATGTGTGGCCTATATTTACGGAGGCAGTCCAGTAAATAGGCCACATTTATGGGGCTACGGCGAGGTATGCCTAGGCCTACTTCATGCATGGAGGTAGAATACTTAATAGTACTTAACTTAAGTTTACACAATTACATTGCAAAAGGTGGGCCCAGACTTTTGTGTAGTGTCAGTATCATTACCAAATTACCTGATCGGCTATTCTTGCACGAAGTTGACATGATGGTGGATCTTCGCGTTAAAGGTAGGCCTATGTCTAGCCCGACTGCATCTGGCCGTACAGTACTATCGCAAGCTCGAGCTTGCGATAGTACTGTACGGCTAGACCCGTGAGCGTGGCTATATACATAGCCACGCTTCAGTCTATAGTTAGTATAGTAAAAACATTCTAATGTGATCCGCGGTTACTAAGATGAAGTGACCGTTCTAGCCGAATTTCGGTCATCCTGGTGATACTCCTACTGTTTTGCGTATGCAGAACTCGGGGTACCAGAGTGTCATGCCTGTCTTTGATTTTCTGATCATTTTGAAAACATTCGTTGTGACAAAGTTGTGCCGTACTTTACATCAAGTTTCTTGGCAATGACGGATCCAACACTCGCATAAATTCACAGGAAGCCCAACAAGCATTGACAAGTAAGTGATTTACCTATGGGCAAAATTATACATGGTTATATGTAGCGGATCAAAAGATAGAATGCTTTCGCCACGTTCACGGGTCTATGTACGGCCAGATGCAGTCGGCTAGCCTATGTCATGTGGCGTAAAATATGTAGGGCTATGTAATTCCACGAAATTTTAAGGAATTTTGGACGATCACTTGACTTTGTGTGTTTTCCCAGAAAATGAAATGGCTTGATCGTACTCCTAGGATACAGTAATAGAAGGCTCTTTTCTGCATGACAGAAGCGTCGGTAATTCTTACTTTTAGGACCCCGTTCCTAAAAGATTCACCAAAACAGCTGACTTAAAGTGACACTCAAAAGTGACATTGTGATATTTCGTGTAGTGTACATGTAGGGCCAGGTTCCTATATAAGGGAACAAAATCCACTTTAAAATTATTGGACCTGCCAAACTAGTTGGCGACATTCTCAATAAACAGGTATGTCATAGATAGAGGGCAGGGTTTTGATTTTTTTGAGGGAAATTTGAGGGTACAATGACGATGACAACACGCGACCCGAAAATAAAGATGGCGATCACCGCACGATGTACCGTGAGCACCCACGGCGTGCTGAATCGCAAGGCACAAACCGCGCAGGAAAATTGTGATTTCTACCCCAAGAATCTGTTAAAAATTGCAAAACAGTAGGGACTACTGTTTTGCAATTAAACCCCTTAATAAGTGGGTCGCTAGAACTCCTTTGGGATGTTGGTCTGTCGTACTCATCCCAAATGTCAGAAAAGGAGTTCTAGCAACCCAGTTAGTGGGACTAGCAAAACAGCATCATTAGAATTGAGAAAAGTCAGAACGGTTGGCAATAACACCTTCTTGAACATCAGCAGGCTAAAGAGGGCAGGGCTTTGACTTATTAAGGGGTTAAAGACGACGATGACAAACAGAAAATAGACTAAAAAAGCAAGATGGCGAACTGCAAAAAAGTTAGGAAAGACGCATTTTCTTTGAAAGTGCTTTCAATTTTACAACTATCATGAGTTTATCTGAAGAAAAAAGACTGCTTCAGCTAGCTTGAGAAACTCTAGCTGTAATGTTTAATATCGCATTAAGCATTAGAGCTGGAAGTTACTCAAGCAATGCTTCAGCCTGCAAAAGTCACTTTGGTACTGACAGTTATCCGTAAAAGTTAGTTTTCAACAGAAGTGGCAAAAAATAGAGGTGTCCTAAAGATAAGGATTACCGAAGCGTCAACGCAGCGTCAACGCCTCCAAAACCGCATTCAAATTAACAAAAGCAGTGTTCAAAACTGTATATTTTGGACTAAAACCAATTGGTTAATATAAATGTCTGAAAATTGCAATTTTCAGTTCAAGAAAAATTGGCTCTCTGTGCAGCTCCGAGATTGGCAGATAGAGCACGGTCATGTTTCCTCAGGGGCAGTGAGGACCATACCATTATGCTAAAGTGGTGAAAGCATTATACAATAAATCAACAGAGGGCGGTCGTTGCGAGTAAAGCAGCATACATGTACATTATGATAATTTTACAATACCTGCACACCCGTATGGTGTAGTCCAGGCTCCTTGCGAAACTTTTGTCGCATGAAAAAAACTATTTTTTCGTAAACAAAATGTAACCTCTGACCCACCGAAAATGTCTTTTAAGTCTAAACTTTACAGTTCCATATCTTTTTTGTCAATTTAGAATGCGTTTTGGAAGTGTTGACGGTGTGTTGACGCTTCTATTATGTGTTGATGCTGTGTTGATGCTTACTATAGTACCCCCACTAGTTAAAGTACTTAACATGAAGGTCTACAAAATAAGGCCAAATAAAAAAAAATAGCATCCTGCCTTTTAGAAAAAGACAGCCTCCAAAAAGGAAGTGGGCGGGAACACTAAACGTGGTTTTTTTTTTTTTATTCGGCCTAAAAAATTAAATTTGCAACTCAGTCGAACAAACGTGTAGCATGCTCGACAATCCATTACGACGATGTTGTTCTAAGGCCTAGAGGATTTTTCCACCTTTTTACACACATAGAAAATTAATACTGACACATCTAAAATGACAAACATGGGTAAATAATTGGTGAATAATTTCTGTTATTACGCACACTGTTGAATTGTCCACATCTGACACTGTGGAACTGCCCATTTATTAAAAGAAAGCTGGCACAGCCAATATGACTGTGAGTATGAGACAGGCTCCATGAAGATAACGTTTACCAAAAGAAAAACAGAACCGGTCAAATATCCACTGCCTCAAAAAAGCAAAACATGATATTCAAGTGCAAACCTACTGATTAGTGGTTATACATGTAGTGCACTGATTTCATCCACTGCCAAGTTCTATTTCTGGCCTTATGAACTGGTCATCATACTACATGTACTATTTTGCTTGTGTAAGATCTTAGTGAACCCTAACAGTCCTGAATCCTCCAAATTCAATACAATTTTGCACACCCCCTAGGGAGTTAAAGTGAAATGTTTCTTCCCTCTTGTTTTCATTCAGTTCGAATTTGCATCAGCCATCCCTCCTCATGGCTATGGCTGTTACTGGTGTTTCATTTCATACTGCAATCCGCGACGCTGCCTGTAACTACACCCCCAAGTAAGTAACCAAAGTTTCAAAGAGGCCTGTGTGTGCTGAACTTGAAACAAGGCATGGCAAGCCTAGTAAAGCTGGTCTCACAGCACACACATTTCTATTCCATTGATTCATAATAGCTATTTGGCATATTCAGTGGCAGATTTTTTCATGTGTCAGTCACACAATTGGCCAGATTCAGCCCATTCATGGCATAACTCCAGACTGGGACTAGTCTATGTAATAGACCATGGCAAAATCTATAACATTTGAGCATATTCGCTGATTATAATTATGCAAGACAACCGCATCTTGACCTGTAGATTTTGACCAATCAGCAGGCGCTTTTTATATCGGGTCTTTGGTCATTCACCGCTGTCGCGTCATAGACACATGGATAAAAAAAAAATACCCTAGACACAGCAACAAAGGCTGCGGTCACGCACTCTGTATTATTTTATGCAATACGCGCCCGGCTGTTGTTGTATTACAAAACACTGCCAATTGGGCAATTCCATTGGGCAAAGAAAAGGTCCTCAGTATTTCACCAACCAAGTTTGCAGACTCAACTCAATTTTTAAAGGAGACATTTCTTCAATATTTTGCACGTGAGGGAAGTCAAGTGATTTCAACATGAGGCTTAAGAGTAAACTGGTGCAAGTCCAATCATGGTCCAACTATTTGTCATGTAGTTTTAGTATGTATATAGTGTCAATCAGTGTCTGGTGGCTGACTATGGAGAAATGTTTAGTAAAGAGACTAGCATGTTTCTTTTGCACAGTTGATTGATGCAGTACTGAAGTGGTGTTGGACTGATTGTTTCATGTGCCAGTCAGTGTTGGAGCAAAGGCTTTGACCCTCAAGGCCAAGGCCAAGGCCAAGGCTTTAACCCTCAAGGCCAAGGCCAAGGCCAAGGCTTTGACCCTCAAGCCTCGAGGCCAAGGCCAAGGCTTAACCCTCAAGGCCAAGGCCAAGGCCAAGGCCCTGATTCATGAAATGACCACTGATATATAACTTATTATAGTCACATGAGTGACACATCAGCACGTAAGGGCGGACCCAGAACACAATTTTTTTTGGGGGGGGGGGTAAAGAAATTTTGCTCCCCCCCAAAAAAAGTGGGTCAAAAAATTACGGCTTGGGCTTCAGGGCCCGCTTAAGGGCCCCGAAAAATTTTTGGATTCGAGATGTTCTGTGGTGCGATTTGAGGCAATTTCTGACCATTTTAACCAATGTTTTTTGAGGAAAAGATGGTGGTGTACTCATTGCCTGCCTTTATTACGACGTCACATAAAAAAATGGTTTCGTTTTTTTTGGGGGGGGGGGGCATGGCCCCTTTTGGGCCAACCTTGATCCGCCCTTATCATCACGAATTGCTTGTTACGAAGAACAACATTTCTTTAATTGCAATCAACTTGTTCGCATAGGCCTACACCGTTTTATGACTGCACTGTATCTATTAAAGTATAAGTTCAGGTCTTCAATATGGTTTAACTAAACAAAATAACGATTTACTTCTATATTGACACACAATTCTCCCAAGTGTAACAAAAGGGGGATCCAAGAAACTGATTTAGGAAATTTTTATTTGCTGGCCCAACATGGTCAGAAATATCAGCATTATCTAAAACAGATACATGCAAATCTTTAGCACTTATCAGGGAGACATATACAACCAATCAGATCTATTCCATAGTTATATGCAATTAAAGTGATCATCTCATTAGCCCCACAAGTGTACGGAAAATGTTTTGCAGCAAATATATTCCAATGGTAACAAAATGTGATGCTATAAAAGTGGAAGTGTGCCCAACACACAAATCTATAGGGTGCTTCCCTCCTCCATGGTAATGATTAAAATGATAACAGCAAAATTTCGAACAGATTTATCTGGTAAATGCAAAAATCTATGGGCCTTGAAGAGCCTTGACTCAAAATTGCAAGGCCCTGAACCCTCAAGGCCAAGGCCAAGGCCAAGGCTTTTGCCCTCAAGCCTCGAGGCCAAGGCCAAGGCCCTAAAATCCAGCCTTAAGGCAGCCTTAAGGCCAAGGCCCAGCATCAAGGCACTACATCACTGGTGCCAGTCTATTTTCTTGTATTGCATGCTTTCAGTACTTTAGGTCTTGGGACTCTCATACACTGTATTGAGAGTCCCAAATTTTCGGACTACATGTAGCATAATCTTATACAATAGCACTGCCCGGCTTACAAGTGACAGGGAGTGGGGGAGTCAGTCAGTCGGTCAGTCAGGTAGGCTATAAATAGGACTATATGATAGGCTGGCCATTTGGGAATGGGGACCAGCTAGAATTTTCACTTTGATGCCCCTGTGACCAGCATGTACATTTCAATGCCCAAAGATTTTTTTTTTTTACTTCAAAAACTTGTATACACGTGTACATAATGTCATGTAGTTTATATCTGTTTACCTGGTGATTTTTATGCCCCGCGGCGAAGCTGAAGGGGCATACTGTTTCCGCCTTGTCCTTCCGTGGGTGGGTGGGTGGGTGTGTGGGTGGGTGGGTGGGTGGGTGGGTGGGTGGGTGGGTGTGTGTGTCCGGACAAATCTTGTCAGCGCGATAACTTGAGAAATACTTTACATATGAACTTTGGTTTGTGGATTGTCCTTGGTAATCCTAAGAAGGCTTTTGCATTTGGGGCCGAAAGGTCTAGGTTCAAGGTCACAGTGGCTGAAACAATAGAAATTTTGTCAGCGCGATAACTTGAGAAATACTTTACATATGAACTTCAAATTTGGTTTGTGGATTGTCCTTGGCAATTCTAAGAAGCCTTTTGCATTTGGGGCCAAAAGGTCAAGGGTCAAGGTCACAGTGGCTGAAACAATAGAAATGTTGTCAGCGCAATAACTTGAGAAATACTTTACATATGAACTTCAAATTTGGTTTGTGGATTGTCCTTGGCAATTCTAAGAAGCCTTTTGCATTTGGGGCCAAAAGGTCAAGGGTCAAGGTCACAGTGGCTGAAACAATAGAAATTTTGTCAGCTCGATAACTTGAGAAATACTTTACATATGAACTTCAAATTTGGTTTGTGGATTGTCCTTGGTAATCCTAAGAAGCCTTTTGCATTTGGGGCCGAAAGGTCAAGGGTCAAGGGTCAAGGTCACAGTGGCTGAAACAATAGAAATGTTGTCAGCGCGATAACTTGAGAAATACTTTACATATGAACTTCAAATTTGGTTTGTGGATTGTCCTTGGCAATTCTAAGAAGCCTTTTGCATTTGGGGCCAAAAGGTCAAGAGTCAAGGTCACAGTGGCTGAAACAATAGAAATTTTGTCAGCGCGATAACTTGAGAAATACTCTACATATGAACTTCAAATTTGGTTTGTGGATTGTCCTTGGCAATTCTAAGAAGCCTTTTGCACTTGGGGCCAAAAGGTCAAGGGTCAAGGTCACAGTGGCAAAAACAATAGAAATTTTGTCATCGTGATAACTTGAGATATACTTTACATATGAATTTCAAATTTGGTTTGTGGATTGTCCTTGGCAATCCTAAGAAGCCTATCGCATTGGGGGTCGAAAGGTCAAGGGTCAAGGTCACAGTGGCTAAAACAATAGAAATCTTGTATTTATTCTGAGATCATAGGGATTAGGGATTAATTCATATAAAACCTACAGAAGACACTGATGCTGTCAATGAACGTTCCATTTGACCAAGGTACATGTAAGTTGATGTTAGAGTGGTGTTATGTCATGGAAACAGTCACGGTTGCGGGGCATTTGTGTTTGTAAACACACCTGACTTGTTTATAAAGTGTTTGTAGCTGCTGGATATCTTCATGTCTCTCCGTTAGTCCCTTAGCCCGTTAGTTAGTAACAAATATTGACATTGTCTATTGCTCCTACACATTTTGACCGATTTCAACCAAAAATATCAGTAGCCCAGCCTCAACATGTCACATGACCAAACGGGGGTCAAACGTCATTATTGGGTCACTGGGTCCAAAAAGCTGATTTTTTTACCCAAAACACTACTCATTCCAGAATTTACATGGCTCAATCACGTGACTCATGCATGAACACAAATTTGTTGGCCCGCAGCTCTTGAGATATTTCCGATCAAGCTTGTTACATACTGCAAGTATCCATCCAGAAGCATGGATAGGTCATTGGAAAGTTTTTTACATCATCTTTTCTTGACCTCTAGTAAGTCACGGAAATGTAATTTTATTCATAACATATCAACTAATATCACTTGATTCTTTCAACATGTGAGATGTGCCATCCACCAGTGACTCTATGTTAAATGTGACCTTTCATCACAACATGAGCTTAAAGTCAGACTATTTAAGAACTGAGATACCTGCATTTGTATTTCTGAAGAAGAAGAGCTTTCAAATGGTATACAAAGTTAAGAGGAGTTCAGTAACGGAGTTCAGTAATGGAAATAAAGACCACCAAGTTACTTGAGGTTGTACATGTTCTCAAAAATCGGTTGTACATGTACATGTACAACCGATTTTTGAGAACAATTTTTTATAGATGTTTGACAGAACAAAAACGTTGGAGAAACGTAATACAGGACTTAATTGTAGAGATTAAATGAAGGTTCACCTGAAAACGAAAAACGGACCGCCCCTTAAAATTTTAGCTTTGCCCAACTGTACTAAGAAAATCACAATTTCCATTTTGTTGTGGCAGGTCACATTATCTTACATATGAGTTCATTGTTATTGCTATGAAACTTAATTCACAGAGGAATTGAGAAAGTTAATATCATTCATATTTTTACATTTATCTGCATGTAGATGTGTTATAAGGATATTTACTTTACTTGTTTTCCTCCCAGGAACTGAAGCTGACTTAATATGTCAATCCAAAGTGGGTGAGAACTTCGTATATGAGGAGGTACAGGGGGCGTGTATCCCATGCCGCACCTGCGAGTGTGGTTACATTGCAACGAATCCGCACTGTGTGAAGTGCGTAGGTAGGTCTCACTGTTCACTGCATTGAGATCCCAGTTGTTGTCAAGTTGATCAAACGTGATACCACAAGTAAGTCCACAAGTACATATGACGATTATGTAACTTGTAAGCATCGTTGATATATCGATATTATTCGATATTATTTTGATATCGATATCGCCGATAGCAATTTTTTAATCATATCGAAATATCAAGATTTTCGATATTGAGGAATCATATCAAAAATATCAAAAAATGCATCAGATTATCGTCAAAATAAATCTCCCGTTTGTGCTTTTACTTTGTGTTTATCGTTTGCTGTGTAATGAAATAAAATTTGGCGGCAACTCATGCGTGTGACTCAAAATAAAAACATAGCGAAATGCCAAGCGGTGTCGCTTTGTGCTCTGCATTCGCTGGAATTCGTGGTCTCCCCAATGTAAAACTGCCTGTTCTGGACAAACTGTCAGTGCTGATGTTCGCTTTAAAAAGTTTGAGCACTATGCTCCAGAGAAAGCCCTGGAAAATTGGGACTTCAGATTTGGGTTTTTTATTGTTTGTTTGTTTTTTAATCAAAGTGCCATCTTTATTGTCTTTAACTTTTGCATGGGTTAATAGATATATCGAATATTCTCGATATTGGATTTCCGATATATAGATTATTGACAATTCTGATGTTGACGGTGCTTAAAACAGGGCGAGTAAAAAAAAACAAGGAAACCCAAATGGCACCCCTATTTTTTTTAAGAAGTTGTGTATACAAATGGGATACAAAAGCCAAATAAGTAAGCTTCTTTTATTAAAAATATTGATCATATCACTCATGTACTTTTCAAGTTATGGACTTTTACATGTAAACATAACATGGTTTTATAATTTTGTCCATGGATCACAATAAAGGTAAGTGATATTTCAGCAAAACGAAAACCATTCACATATAAAACAAAACACTCTCACCATCACACAAATTGGCATCTATCATAAACCTTTTAATATCTGCTTCCAATGTTCAAACAACATGCTTTATAATGTCAGTGGAGACATACAGGATTATTCCGATATCATAATGTGACATGCTTTTATTTTACTGTTATGTCAAGTACAGTACCTTAACTGTGAAAATAATTTAAAAAATAATAACACAATTTAAGCGCACATTTTCACAAGTGTCGATGCGTGACTGAGGACAACTCCAGAAGACAAAATTTAAAATTTGTGTTTGTGTCCAAAAATTCCATTACTCAAAAAATACATGGGTGATTTGAATGATTCTTGTACTAAAAGAAAGCTTAGTTTGTGGGCTTTCACATCCTAGATCTGGAAAGCCCTACATGCAGAACTTTTTTTACAAAACAGGGGGCGCCATTTTGGTTTTCATTTTCTTGACTCACTGCTCGGACAAACAAACAATACTCAGTTGTTGCTGGGAAATTGTTACAGCCGATATGTCCCTTTTTTATTCTGTGTAGACTATGGCATTCTACACTGCCAAACTACTACTGCTCAGGTGACTGCTCAGATCACTGCTCCAGTCACTGGTACTCCGCTGCAGGAATCCACCCCATCCCTGCAGACGTCCATGCAGACCACAGAAGAGACACCATTGATGGCCTTTATGACAACTATGCAGCAAAACGATACTGCCGAGACCAATGCGAACAACGTGGAAAAGGCAACCTGGAGTACTGTAGTAGGTAGGAACGTTGTAATTTGTCCCAACACACGTCACGGTCGCCCCACAAAAATAAAAGTTCTATTCCGTGGTATTGCATTACATGTTTCTGCCTGTGGTGGCACACGAATACAATATGTGAGAATCTCCGTTTGTTCGCAATACAGAAGATGAAAAAACTTGTTTGTGATGCTGACGCTGCTAACACAAAGAAGCAAGTAAAATATGCTGGCAAACGATAAATGTAGGATACAAACATCCACACAATAATCCTTCTATAGATTGGGCGCTGTTGTAGTATTATTGTGTTATTCGTGCGAGAACGATGCTCGAGGTCCACTTTTTCGACCCCAAAAAGTTGGGATGTTTGTGTTAGTGGTGAATCTAGCCGTAAGAGTTCGCCTTTTGCGGACGTGTTAGAAATCACATTTTGTGCTTTAGTGATTGGTCACTGCTGTTTGTGTGCACTGTGCTGTGTAATACTAGATACACACAACGTGTATACATACACGTTGTTTGAAAACGACAGGGAGCGTGTATCATACTCAGTTGTGTCCGATGTAAACAATTGTTTTTTGGGTTTTTTTTCGTCTTTCCTTTTCGGGAACAGTAAGACATTAGGTTGGTTTCTTTTCAACCAGATGTTTGAAATAGGATAAGTAAACATGAAATTTTCAGGGATTTTCAGGACGCACCTTGCCCCTTTTAAGTAGCCTTTTGCCATGCCAATTGTGGTTCTACAGCGGCGAAGCTGTGGAGCTGCGGGTGAATGGAGCGAAGACCAATTCAGCATGCATGAGTGGCAAAGCTGTGAGGCCTTTTCTAACTCTATTATACATTTTTTGTTGCATTATTCATATTTTTTATGCAAATAAGTAGAGTGCTGAAAGGTTAACCAATCACAACGCGGACTTCTCCTAGTTGCATCCAGTTGTGAAAGGAATGTAAGCAGTGCAAATGTATTAAGCGGAAATAAGTTCAGAAAAGCAATTATTTCATACCCTCATAATCTCTTGAAATACTTTTATAAATAAAACAAACAAATGAAAGGACAATTACTTGAGCATAAGCTGGAAAAATAGTCTCAAAGCTATTTTCCCAAATAAACAATATACAGATCCAAACTACACTGGTCGATTGTTGTCATGAAAATCGCCTGTGCTTGAAATATTTTACCGTATCCAGTGGGAAAAAATACAAATACATCATTCCTTGTACAACTCCTTCAATCGCCTGATGCTGTGTTACAACTGACAATGTAGTAACCAACAGATAATGTATCACCAACCGATAATGTCACACAAATTGACTGATAGTGTAGAAAATATTGAAATTGCATTGACTTTAAGGTCAAAACTGGGCTTCCAAATCAATTTCAAACTCAAGATATGGGTCCTTAAAGTTCGCTGCTCTGTCTGGTAATACCTGTTAAAGCCACAATGAACACTATGTATAAAGTGCTTAAAGGTAGGGTACATGCAGATCATTCGTTTGAAGCAACAAAAGTGCTCAATAAATGCTGTAGTATTCTGAGAAAACTATATTCTAGGATATTGGTTTCAATTTAAAAGTTGCCGAGACATGTTATTGTTTGTTTTGAATTGCACTCAAATTCAGCAGCCGGGTAACGATCCCTGGCGGGCCCGATTGCAGCTACGCGATGTCAAGCACTGAACTGACACCTGTAGCAATCAAACGCCAGTGGGCCTCATGGCAACACACACAAGCATACACCCATATTCAAGGATTTGCCAAATTACAAACAAACCGTAATAATGGAAATTTAAAAAAATGCGTCTAGAAATGGCCTTTTATTGTTTTCTTCAAAATTTCAGCATGCCAAAAAAGATTAATTTCACAAGAAAATTAGTGCCATTAATATCTGTAAACCAAATAAGCTATTCATGAATAATTTCATTAGTGACTTTTTGGATAGCTGCAAATGATCTACTCTACCTTTAAAGATGAATATAAATGAGGTAAGTATAGCAGTATTTCATTCAAGTTTGAGGGAGTCATATCGCAACATCTCTAGCAAACCTTGAAACAGATTTTATTTGAAACCTATTGTGCTTTGATCCCATATAGGCTTCCCATTGATAGCTGTAATGGTAACAGTCGTCGGTGTTCCTAGTCTTGTGTTTGGGGTTTTCATGTGGAAAAGGAGGCCTAGTACTAGTGGTATGTATCCAACATTATTTCTAAATTTTGATTTTGATGGCGCAACCAAATTTCCAGCACCAGTTATTTTTTTTCTCTAATCTAACACCCAGATATCTGATTATAATTATTATTTGTCAGTAGTTGTATTAGACCAGACCAAGGTTCCGGAAGTGATGCGGCGACGCGGCTTTTTTTATTTTTTTTTATTTTTTTATTTTTTTGCTTTTTTTTTCAAGCTTGGATTGTACAGACAAGGTGGGGTACTATTTTGCTTTTTTGGTGTCCTCATGTACATTGGTGTCCTCCATAATTTGCCTTGGTGCCCTCGATCATTTGCCTTGGTGCAATTTCCCATTCCTTGGTGCTCTTTGGTAAACAAATTTGAGGATGTGCAGCAATAGAGTGTGCTGTTGGAGCTACCGCGAAACATTTTGGAAAAAAAAAAGATTGATGCGCATGATTAAAATCAACAAAGAGCAAATGACCTACAATGTACATGTATGTACTGTTAACATGTATATTTTTGTCGTACTTTCAGGTGCAGCCCGCCAGCAGGTGCCTACACAGGAGACCGGCAAACGGGAACCTCACCCTAGCACCGACCTGACGGGTGTTATACCTCCTAATCATGAGTTTTCTGAGAACGAGTCCTGTGTTTAGGACAGGCAAATCCCTGAGGCTTCCGATTCCATATCTCGTAGACAGAGTCGCCGTTTGTCTTTTGTGTAAAAACAAACCCTGATCATGATATTCACGGAACTAAAACTATAACAGGGGCGGATCCAGGAATTTTGAATTTGTTCAGGCCTGTCATATTTTATTTCACGTCTCAGTGGCGTAACAAAATCATTTTTAGTTTGGGGTGGGGTTGGGGTGGGGTAGATTAAACTTTCGTTAAAAGCGCACTCGGAAATCAGTGCTGAATTGTAGCCAGATTATTTTCCCCGGACACCTGGCCTCCATACAATCAAAAAGTACATAATACGTGTGTCTGTGTGTGCTATGTTTAGGTTAGGTTGACTCTTGTCAGCACAATGACTTGAGAAATACTTTACTTAGGGAAGTTGAAATTTGGTTTGTAGGTTGTTCTTGATAGTCTTAAGGAGCCTGTTGCTTTTGGGGCCGACAGGTCAAAGGTCAAGGTCATTCTATACTTAAACAACAGAATATGTTGTCAGCACGAATGCTTGAGAAATACTTTATTTAGGAACTTCAAATTTGGTTTGTGGGTTGCTCTTATCCAATCTTATCAAGCCTATTGATTTTGGGTCGAAGGTCAAGGTCACTTTTGCTAAAACAATAGAAATGTTCCATTTTGGTTAGGGACACTGACTTTATAAAAACTGCCATCATGCCAGGGAGATTGCGCAGGTCTCACTTGCATTTTAATTCTTAAAAGTTTGTTTTTGCTTGCTCGTCCTGGTGTATTAAAGCATAGACCTAGAATGCATGCACAATAGATAAATTGCATAATGTTCATGTTGTTAATAATGAGTGTAATAGGCGCTAATAACACCTAGCCACTATCGCATCATTGTTCTTTGTTCTATAAGGCACAATGAAGCGATGATATATGCCTACCTATAAGTACAAAGGAATAATACTTGACATTTTTGAATGAACTGAATGCTGATAGGACAATCTTTTTCTGCCATGATGGTGTACTGCCAGCCTAGCTGCTTAAATGAATAGGGTGTGATTACCTTTCATTTAGAAACAAACAAACAAAGAACCCAACAAACGAACAAACCATACCCAAGAAAATGACTGTTGAAAGTGACAGCATCGAACACTAGTCTGTGTACTTTATACCCTTTTAGACTGGTGTTCCGAGTCACATGAAACTGAACTATTTTGAAGGTTTCCAACACATGAGTTACTTCATGTGCAAGTCTTTGAAAGATTGAGTGTTGGATTGACTCCTCAGTCTAGTCTTGGTAAATGTGACATAAAATTTGCCCGTCAGAAAATAAAAATCTATTTTGGTTGACTACAGTTGTCATGGGCATCGCGAGGGGAGGTGGCAGGGGTGTGGGAAAATGTCCCCCTGCTCACCCTCGAAAACTATGGTAAATTGAGAATATTCTGGAAATGTACAGGGATCTTAAGGGGAAAAAATGTGCTTTGCCCCCATCCCTAGAAAAAATCCTGGCGATGCACATGACAGTTGCTTCTAATAATTTCTGAGTTGGTGTGATTCTGGAAAGCCAGTTTATATATTTGAAGTCAACACTCTCATTGTCACAACCTATATTCCGTCATGAAAGTCACCCAGCTGCATCGGAGTTTTCTATATTTTGAAACAATGCTCAGTGCTCTGATGCTCAATATCTTACATGATAATCCATGAAGTTGACTTTACTTCAATGCAGCCAGCAGGAAGCACGAGCAGAAAAAAGATTGTCTTAAATGCAACCAATATTGCTTAATCCCATCTCTGGGCCCATATAAGTATATGCCAGTTCAATATTTTCCTTAATTTTGATTTTAGAATTTATCTCTTTTTTTGGGAATTATTTTATGATCCACCCAATATATGAGTGACAGGTCACCGAAGCTGCAAATTTTTGCACAATGGAAATCAAGAGGAACTACTAACATTACTCAAATGTTAAATTGAGTGATATTTGAATATGCCCTATTTCTCTAAATTGAAAAATAACCAGAAGGTGGAAAAAGTTCCTTTAAACTCCGTTTTTTGAAGATCCAGTCAAAATATTAGGACTTTGCCCCTTTTCCAGTAGGTCCTGCGATGGGATTAAGTGGTATAAATGAGGCAGGCTTTGTTCACTTAATTACAAATTGAAGGGAATGTCTTGCTGGTTTAAGAACAGATGTGATGTCTTGGACGTAGATGGGCAACAGTTACAGGGGCCTTATTGAGTGGTAGTGTCTGTTTCTTGCAAGCCATTCTCCTTCCTTCCATGTTGTAATTTTGTTTGACATCCTGCAAAATGTTAATAGATTTCCTTGAAGACAGCAGTCTTCAATGAGGAACCTTATTATATTTCTGATGCCAGACTCCCCGTGAATTTATCTCACAGGGAAATACTTGCTTTTGGATAGGCTTGGGTAATTCCAACCCCCACCCCACCCCCCCCCCCCCCCCCACCCCCAAAAAACATCCAAATCCCCCTCAAAAACAAAGCAATTACTTTCATGACTTTGGAAATAGATTGTCGGCTGTAAATCCTTCCTCTTAATGACCATGTTTTAGTGATAGGTTTTATTGAACTTCTCCCTATTTTCCAAATACATTGTAGTGTTTTTGCTATGGATACAGGCCCATCGCCAGCCCTGAGCGTCAGGGGGGAGCCATAGTACCAACTAGGGGGGCTCACTACCATAAAAAAAATACAAAAATGCATATGTCTCTTGCTTGGGGGGGGGGGGGGGACTGCTCGCCAAGGGGGTCCCGGCCCTGTATGGATATTAGCGATGGGCCTGCATGGATATGAGGTGCGGTTTCGGAACAGAGTTCTTACTTGGGGCAGAATTTAAATCAATGCCCCCTCTTCCCCGCCCCCAAATTGGAGTTACCCAAGCCTATATCTTTTCTTAATGAAATATTTTGTAAAGTAGTAAAATGCAGGAAACAGTTGGTAAAATGGTGAAATGTAAATGAAATGTAAATGAATTTGTATCCTCTTTAGTAGATAACGAGTTATTATTTTTATCGACGAATATCATCATGTTTGTGAATGTTAAGAATTATTGGTGTTGGTGTACAAAATAAATACTGAAATTATAAAAATTCACTTTATGTACTCAGTAATTTTGTGGATATTGTGTAATGTCGTGCTTATCTGTCTATCCCTGCAGTTCTCTAGTTAAAAATGTGGAAGTGTAAACATCAATTTTATTAACCCATTTTTGTCAATAAATCCATTATTTTTGCCCCAAATCGTCCAAATAATACGTGTCAGAGTATTAAGTGAAATTCTTCTGGCATCAACTTGCCTTTCTACATTGTTTGGGAAAATTACAATTTTTGCCCACATTTTATCAAAACAGAACTTATACTTTTTTAACTTTTCAGCCGAAAAATTCAATTTCCTTGAAAAAAGCAGGGCAAGTGCTTAATAGGCCATAAGACACAAGTCAATATCTGTCCAGATTTGCCATTCAAAACAAAAATTGTGTTGAAAATGTGGGGGAATTTTTTTTTTTTTTTTTTTGCAGTAAATGGATTATTTAAAAAAAAAAAAAATAGGTACGGTGTACGACTATGACATCATGTTTACCTATAGCACAGACGGGCCTCTCTAGCTAGCTTTGCGTTGTTTGGGAAAATTTAAATTTTTGAACAAAGTTTTGATACTAAAAATGTTATCGGTTCAAGACAAATTATCAGAAAGGGAAAGAAGGTATTTTAAGGTTTAAATCGATGTATGTCTTGATCACCTGCGAGACTTTGGAGTACATTTCCCGATCTTTTTAAAAGTTTCATTGATAAATATTCGACATGGATTCACTTCACACTATTTCACAACAGAATAATAAAAAGATGAACATTAAAATTGAAAGTCAATTATCAATTTGTCAAAAACAAATATTTGTAATTTTGAAAATATCAAACAAACTAACAGCAACAACTCTTCCAATGAATTCCATTTGATCTATTATTCGAAATTACTGTAGTGTAGACCTAGAATTTCATTTTCTTAAAAGCAATGAAATATGCATTATGTACTTGGATCATTCCATAAATTAATGCGAGGACCAAATCCTGTGTGTCCCTGTTACATCTGATATAAGATGTTTTAAATTCAGGACACATTCTTCAATGCCTTCTATCTCTGAGAGTGATTTTATGTAAAGCAAAGTACCTGCCGAACGAGTAGTAAAAGTTTGAAGTCAATTGTAATGATACTTGCGTGGTAATTTAAGCAGGTCAGATGTAACAGAGACACACTTTTGGACCCCAGTTTTATGGAATGACCCTCTTTTCTAATAAGCAATGATATTTGAAAAAAAGACAATGAATATTCGTCTTCATGCAGACAGTTTGAAGTTGCACGAATATTATTCGTGCAACTTCAAACTGTCTCATAAAAAAGGAAATTTGCGCTCAGATAATCTATATTGTTCGGAACCAAAAAATACATCAGAAAACAGCCGATGGCTTTAAATAACATGTCGAATAAAAAAATGAAAAATTAAAGTTGGAATGAGGAAGTAAAAAGACACACTTTTGCGCTCAGATAATCTATATTGTTCGGAACAAAAAAAACACATCAGAAAACAGCCGATGGCTTTAAATAACAATGTTGAATTAAAAAATGAAAAATTAAAGTTGGAATGAGGAAGTAAAAAGACACACTTTTTAAAGGGGAGACAGGTATATGGGCAGATCTTCATGTCATTTAGTTTTATTCATCGTGGAAAAAAAAAAGAGAGAATAGCGCTTGTACATTGCTTCAGGCGCGGTTCTACAGGGGGGCTAGGGGGGGGGGCTGTAGCCCCCCCAAAAAAAAAAAAATTTGTCTAGCCCCCCCAAAAAATAAATTCCGTAAAAAAAAAATTGCATTATCAAAAAGGAGGATTGTGATCTACATGCGAACGGTCTCCCCCTTAAGAAGAAATAGCCGTGACAAGGGTGCATTAGTTAATAAATTGTGAATGATTTTAGGATTTTATTGGCGCTCCCCATTGAAAATATGGCATGAGACTGAAGATCCGATTGCGGAGAGGTCAAAATAGAACAAAACCTCTTTAAAACATTCAACACACACAAAAAAGTGCGCTGACCTCAAGTTCAACAATTGAAATACAAAGCCATAACTGAACTATTTTCCTAGAATATTTCGCAATATCAGAATGCAAACTAGGGGATTTTCGTACATGCGTTGCTGGGTCATCGGAAGTAATGCATAATGACGTCCGTCGGAAATAAAAGTTGGACTGCGGAAGTTAAAAAAAATAAAACGGGGAGGGGACTCGATGTTTTTATCTGCAGCGCACATCGTCAATGGACCATGATTATTCAGCTAGTCGATGTTTAATCATAAAAAATAACAATGACGTCAACCAATGCTATTATGTCATGCATGCACATAATATTACAGCATTTTAAAGAACAGCTTTGGTAGAGCTGTCACAATTGCATGGCCTAGTGATAGTGGAGTGAACTATGGATGGCAAGATTTGTTTATTTTATTTCTTTCTGGAAATGAAACCACTAGGATTCCTCAAAAGTACACTTGGCGCTGTAGCCTGAAGAAACCTGTGGAGAGACAATGAGAAGAATTTACAGTTTTAGAGGTGGGGGAAAAGCCCAGGGGAAAAGCCCAGAGGAATATTCTGAGGAAAACCCACGGAAACAGGTATAGGGACTGAAAACCCTATCCATGATATTGGCCCGAGCGGGATTCGAACATGGGCCACAGTGGAGGAAAAGCACCGCTATGCCAACCTGATCACTCTGTGGTTCGAGCCCACGCCCATTTTTATGAAATTAGTTTTGTTGGTTGATGGGATAGGTTAAATTGGAGGAAAAAGAGGAGAACCTAATTTTTTTTCCATCCACACCAAGTGATTAACCATAGGCGTAGCCAGCGGGGGGGGGGGGGGGGGGGGGTTTAAGGGAGTATTCCCCCCCAATATTTTGTAAAGACTGCCCTGTTCTATTCAAATGCCCTTTTTTTCACCAGCGTTTACCTCCCCGACCCCCCCCCCCCAATATTTTGTAAAGGGAGCCCTTTTTTGTGAACAAGTGCCCTTTTTTGTGAACAAGCGCCCTTTTAAAAGTATGTGGTGGCCTTTTTGGTGCCATCGGCCATTGCGGGTGCCTTTTTTGTTACTTTCGCATATGTATTTCAGCGAGCGCCTTCTATTGGGTCTTCGGCATGATTTCACAACTTTTCGATCCGAACCGATGGGCTGGCGCGCGGGATTTGACAATGCGCTATCCCAACTCATGAAAGGTCCGTATACAATAGTGTCGTCAGGTGTGAGTCACGATTATGACGTGCGTACCTAAGTGTCGGGTATAAATGAAATTGCAATTCAGCAATTATTGGCATTGACTATACTGCGCTCGGCAAACATGCATCGCTGTACAAAAATATACCCGTACATGAAAGCTAGTGTAGTTTGTATTCTGCTATCTAGACTTGTGGGCATGGTGCCAAGGCACGAACCATGTGAACCACAAAAATCGTGGAATCCCGACTAGTCTTTCTATCCAGCTGTTCACCAAGCTACCAAAACCTCACTATCGTCTGATACTTGCTGAAACCTGGCGCAGCTCACTTCCTCCAAGATCATGAGCCTAGGTAAGGCCAATTAATGCAATACAACATGTATGTATATATATTTAAAACTTTTAAAAGCAACTGACTGAGTTGTGAAAGCACGACACGAATTGGGAGAGACTACTCACTCTATATACACTCTATAGTCTCCGTAGTCTGGTTCCCCGACCTGACAATTTCCCCCGACGTCTACACGTCTAAATTGTAGGTCAGGCAGCCTCCGTGGCTAAAAATAAACACGACGACATTGACGGCCCTTTTTCAAAGCTCGACTTCGTTTCCGAATTCGCTTTATCACATAAAGCTTTTAATGTTCCGATAATTTTTTTAAAAATAAATCACTTGCTTCATATATCATACAGTTATGATATACAGTTTAATACTTCTGTAAAAAAACATCGACTAATTTTAACCTGGAATCTTCAAAGTTGGACACCCACACAGCACTGTTAGCAGGCGGAGCCGATCATTGAGACCACGCCGCGTTTTGGAAAATGCCGGTAACGGTCGTCAAATTCAAACTAGTGCATGACGCAGCAAAAAGTTCGCCCCTCGTATACGATCCGAGTGCAAAATCGTCGTTGAATTTCAAGTTTTCTAAATAAAAGCAATTGATATTAATTATCAACTAGTTTTTAAAGTTTTTAATAAGCAATTAGCAGTTAATAAAACCTATATTATACTCGGAAATACTCGGACACTATCCGATTGTCGACGAAATGAATTCGGCAAACTTCGGAAAGTTTCGGAAAAAGGAGGAATTCCTCCCGTTTTAGTCACGTGATGTAAATTGTAATACATTGTATTACCGGAGGCTACCTGACCTAAGATTCATCAGGAATAGTCGGAATCTTTTGGTCTGGGAACCAGACTATAGTCTCCGCTCAATTCGCATCATGTTTTCGCTACTGCACACAGTTCCGAAACAGTTCAAGGCTTCATCCGCAAGGCTTCATCCGAGAATGAATCAATGTATTTGCCAAAAAAAAAATTAGCTCTGGCAGGAGCTTCTACACATGTCACTTGGTGGTCGGTCTGTCTGATGAAAAATATTTGACAAAAAATAATTCAGTAATTGACTAAATGCCTTGCCGTCGTCAGTAACTGCACTCTGACTTGACGAAAGTTTCGGAACACGGGCTTTGTCTCGATCAATGCGAATGATGCGCGCCATTTTGCGCTATAAAACAATTTTTTGGTAATAATTCGTTAAATTGTTTATGAAAATTGGGTAAATGGAGGCAAAACAAATGTGCAGTAATGTTATAGTCACGTGGTATGGTGCGCTATACCGCGCTATATAGCTATATTTATGGGAACCTTAGGCCAAAAAAATGCTTCTGTCTCCGATTACATGCCTTTCAAAAATAGGGTCGGTCGGTCGGATTTTGTGGTTTGTTTGGCCAATATTTTTATGCTGATCGAATGGGGCATTCAATCATAATTATGCGAAGTTTAAGCCTGAACTATTTCCATTGCACTACGAAAGGTATACAAAAAAAATGCCAACAAAACAGTGACCTTAATTATAGTCAATATAGTTACGTTCGATAATTCTTTAAAAATAATGGAAAATTCAGGTCGTGTGCACCTTATGCACAACGCTAGTCAAGACGGGAAACTGGCCAAACTTCCGTCAGCGGGCCGCGAAAGACCTCGTTTTTACGGTGGACCATTTTGGAGAAATTGCATCGTATCACTCCAAATACGAGTAGTGCCATCTCAAAATGAACTCTTGAACACGGAAAATACCTACACTGACAAGAGAGATCAAGTTCTGTGAATAAGCTTGCAAAATTTTGCTTTTCCATCGGTGTTTTCTTGGCATTTTTACGATGTCGAATCCGCCGACTGACCACTTGACGGTGCGCCGTGTGCGTAATTTTTATTCCTAGGAGGGTTAGGGGCAATGTCATGAATAATTCATGAATATCCATGAGAACAGACAATGACATTAACAGCATTGTTGTTAGTTACTCAACTAGTTACAATACATTAAAGCATTTTAAAGAACGGTTGTCGTCGAGCTACCACACAGTAGCCTAGTGGATAGCGAGATGAGCTATGGATACAAAGATCCCTGGTTCGAATCCACGTCGTTGATGCTCATTTTCATCAGCTATTTTTCTTCTCCAAATTTATCACTGAGATAATTTTAAATTAAGGGAAAAATAAACGAGAACCTAAGTGTTGCAATGATTCAAAGGAAAAACTGAATTATTCATGACATTGCCCCTAACCCTCCTAGGAAAAAAATTTACCGCGTCGGCCTGCTGCCATGTTAGCGCTCTGCGCTATAGCGTATAGCTATGCACAGACTGGTTACCGCATTTTCATCATGCCTTCTAAATCGGCCGCGGGAACCAGTTGTCGCCGCATTGAGCTACAATGCAATCGCATTGCGAAGTAGTTACCGCGACAAGCGAATTTGTAAACAACTGAGGTTTCTTTTGAATAAAATAGGGAATGTATTGTAAGAAAACAAATAAATATAAGCATTTTTGACGCGAAAGGGTTGTTGAGAGGTATTTTATGTAGACAGAAAAGACAACATTTTTTTTTATTTATTCAAAATTTCATTTTTTTTTTTTTTTTTTTTTTTGGAATTGCCAATAAACTTTTGAGGGTCGCGGCCTAAAAATAAATAGGGTCGGTCGGGTAACCGGAAGCAGAAGTAATTTTAATGCCCTTTTAATGGACGGCGGCCATGAAGAATGTGGAGGATAACAAAAAATTCCCTTCTGAGTCAAATACTGCTTCATTTCTAAAGTTAGTATTTTACGAAACTTACTGTTCAGTGAAATCCCTCGGCTGTTAAGCCGAGGGAACTATGCAAACATTGTTGAGCGTGTACAGATTTATATTATGTATGGTGGTATTTTAATAATGCACTTTTTATTCCATTTTCTTAAAAGCAATGAAATATGCATTAGCATTATGATACTTGGATCTTTCCAGAAATTAGGCCAAAACAAATACGTCTCCGGTTTCTGGTATGCGCGCGCGTCGCCGTAGCCATGCGCGTCAGCAAAATGAAAAAGGTTGTTTTTTTTTCAATAAAAGATGATGTCTCAAAACTGCCAAACTCACTGGTTTGACTGGAATCCTGCTGCTGCACAATTTTAACGTGTTTTTAGATGGGGTTATGATCGACAATAAGCTATATGTGTCCTTTCTGGACTCCCATATAGGCTATTTTCACTAAGTTTAGTCGGGCACCAATTGCAGTCATCAGCCGACATTTGAAGCAAAAAAACACAGGTAAAAAAAAAAGCCGCGTCGCCGCACCACTTTTTGGGCAAGCTCCATACCAGAAACCGGAGACTTTTTTTTGGCCTTAATGTGGGGTCCAACTTTTCGTGTCCCTGTTACATCTGATATAAGATTATTTAAATTTGAGACACATTCTTTAATGCCTTCTATCTCTGAGGGTGATTTTATGTAAAGCAAAGTGCCAAACAATACAAAATAGTTTGAAGTCAATTGTAATGATACTTCAATGGTTATTACGCAGGTCAGATGTAACAGGGACACAAACAATGTCACACTTTTGGACCCAAAGACCCACTTTTCTAATTAGCAATGATGTTTGAAAACTGAAAGACATGAATATTTTGTATTCATGCAGACAGTTTGAAGTTGCACGAATATAAAAGTTTTGTGCTCAGATAATCCATATAGTTTGGGAAAAAAATACATCAGGAAACAGCCGCTGGCTTTGAATAACAATGTCGAATAGAAAAAAAAAAGGAAAATGAAACCACTTTTTTTATGGGGAAACTGATACGGATAGATATTCATGCCCAGTGGCGTAGCCACGGGGGGGGGGGGGGCGTGGGGGGCGACAGCTTTTTAATGATACTTGAATGGTTATTACGAAGGTCAGATGTAACAGGGACACAAACAATGTCACACTTTTGGACCCAAAGACCCACTTTTCTAATTAGCAATGATGTTTGAAAACTGAAAGGCATGAATATTTGTATTCATGCAGACAGTTTGAAGTTGCACGAATATACAAGTTTTGTGCTCAGATAATCTATATAGTTCCAAAACATGGAATCGCTTGCCCAGTTAAATAAACCTTCAAACTTGTATAGGTATCATGAGGGCGGAATTAACTCCCGTACCTACAAAACCTTCCTGAACTCATTTTTTTAATCCTCATTTGTACTACTTCCATCTAATTCCCAACTAAGCATAGTTTGCTCACTGATAGAGTCACATTATAAGTTTCTGCGAATATTCTATAATAAAATATAGTGTAGCAGCCATGCACTTTTTGAATTTGCAGTCGGTAAATTGTGGTGGTTGTAAAAAGTTTCCAATCGTTTCTGGTTTTAAACCCGTATACTGACAACCTACTTTTTTTGGTTGGTCAGTCGTTCTCATCACAATGCACTTAACATCCGATTGCGGAGGGGAGAGACCAAAAATAGAACAAAATATCTTCACTAAAACAAACACAGAAAATGGATAGTGCGTGCTGACTCAAGTTCAACTTAAACAATGAAAGTATACCAAAAAGTCCTTGAGTCTGTAATAGGCAAAACCGTAACTGAACGCTCTTCCTAGAAAAGCCCGCTGATAAGATGATATTTCACAATTATATCATTATCAGATTACAAATCCTCGAAACTGTAACAGACAAAAGCATAACTGAACGCTTTTCCTATAGCTCCGCTGAAACGAGTTATTGAATATTTCGCAATCATTGGATTACAAAATTGGAAAATCCTCGCACACGCGTTGTTGAATAATCGATTTTTGCTGAATTGTCGATGTTATGCATTATAACCTCCGTCGGAAAATAAAAGTTGGAAATACGGAAGCAAATAAAAAGTTGAAACAGAGACTGGTATGGACGATTGTTTATGCATAAAGCCCCGGTTCATTCTCAGCGCGAAAGTGAACGCGAATTTTTTGACGTCAGGGCCGCACTGCGACGGTAAATGTTTTAAACATAACAACTCGGGCATTAAGTATGAACCGGGGAGTGCGCGTCTTGACCTCAGGGGCGT